TCAGACACAATTAGCATCAAGAATTTTGTTTTTAATATCTATATTAGCTGTCTAGCAGCTTTAATCGAAAACAATATTATTAATAGCGAGTTGAGACATATACACATAGTATACGCTTAATGTTGACGATAATTTTTTTTTCATAATTAATTTAATAGTATGGCAGAGAAATAAATTAAAATTCCTTATTATTATATTATCAATTCAATGTTAAAGATATTGTGTTTCTATTTTTACTTATAGATACCCACAAGAACAAAAATAAAATATAACTATTGATTGAAATATTTGGAATATTTAAGTAAGTATTATATTTCTTTTTTAATTTATACATTTGAATATGGTATCGTGATGTTTATAACTTGTCATTGTTTTCGATTGTATTATATTATAATATAAATATTAATTATACTATGATTATAAATCAGAGCTTGAAATCAAAATATAATGGTTTGATTTTAATTTTAAATTTCACTCATCGATGTACTCTTGTGTGTAAATATATTATCAGTGTCAGATTTGACCACTATGCCGCTGTAAGCATCATACAAAATTATTGCCTTTATATACGTATATACATTGATTTTAAAACATTATAAAGTTTATAATAATATAAAAACAATTACTTATAGGTATTTTGTATTTAATAATATTTTAAATTGAAATTTGTAAACTTATTTTACAGAAAATTATAATAATGGTGATAAATATTACAATATTATATTTTAACTATTTAATTAAAAAAGGTATAAAATATTATTTTTTTGCGTATGTTAACATTTTTTGGTAGAGTAAAATTTATCGATTTTTAAAAATGGGAAGGGGGATTGTTCTGATTGAAAATTGAATCTCTTTAGTACTTTGGTTGCTTATAACTTGGAAAAAAAATAAGGTAAAATAGAAGTTTTTACACAAATTATATTCATGATAAAATCGATTTTGTGTTTTTGGTGTAACTCATAAATGAAAAACCATAGGGTACTTGGAATTTTCACCAAATATTTATAGGTACTGTCGTATTTTATTAACAATAGTATTTTCTAAATATTTCGAATGTTTTTGAGCTATATTTACAAGCACGACAAATTTTCAATTTCTTTTTTTAGTTTTTTTTTTCCATGATTGTCGATAAACAATTATTTTCTAGGTTAAAATTCGTGAAAATTGATTAAATAATTTTACGTAAGTTGTTCTTAAATTTGTATAAACATTTTAAAAATGCATAAGCGTATTTTTTGTTTATATTTGAAGTTAAAACGTTGATAGAATTTGTAAAAATCGTAAAAAACTGTTAACTATTTTATAGTTAAAAATTCATAAAAACATTTCGTTTAATACCAAAAGCTTGAAAATTGAATACAAGATTTTGCACAAGTATTTCATACTGAAATCGTAAAATCTAATAAATATATATATTAAGATAGTTATTTTTTATAATACAGAAATTACTTGTTTAAACGATAAATAACAATGCCAATTATTTTGTTATAATTTAAAAATAATATTCGTGGAAGCTTAAAACTTTTAACATACGTTATAAAGAATTTTTCTATACTACTATATGCTCTGACATTTTTGATTTATTTTAAGATCTTATCTATTTGTACAATGAACCTATTTTTACTATTTTATGGTATTTGCAGAAATGCGTTATTAAATTTTGAGTGTTATATAATTTGATATAACATGGCATAAATACATAATATTATTGTAATAATTCAATATGAAGAATTTAATAAATTTGATATTTTCAGAAAAAATTTAATCAACCTATCGTAATACTTAAATAAGATAAATGGTTTGAATAGCTATTTAAAAAAAAAAAAAAACATATTATGAAATATACCTAGTAATATAAACTGATATTAAACTAGACTGTCTTCACTTGGAATCGTTTTGCGTATACAACGATATTATATCATTGAATTAGTTTAACAGATCTACAGATCCATAATAGTAACTCACTCGATAACTAATGTACAACAGAGTGGTATATCCACTTGCCAACCTTTTTTTTGTTTTTGATTTCACTATAAAATAATAAATTTATTAATTAATTATCAATTACAAATATTTTTTACGATTTAAATTTAGATTTCTACTCGTGAGAAACCAGCCTTTGCTTGTCCATTTCATACGCGTCGTTCGGGAAACTATTAAACGAGCCTGAAAAAAAGAAATGTTAACAATAAATTAATAATTGATATTTGTTATACCTACTGATGAACAATATTTAATTTAAACTTTTACTGACAAATAGGTGCATATACCACTTATAAACTATATACAGATGTTATAACATTATATAATAATTAATATTCATAAATCGTTAGGTATATATTTTTTTTTCAAATTTTTGAATATGATTAATTAAAATTTTTATAGTTAGAATAAGGAGTTTATACTTATATATGCATGTAAAATGTATTTCAATTTAAAAATACTCATGTCATAATGGGAGTTCATAATTTGCACCAAAATAAGTGCATATAATTTGCACTACCGTAGGTAGTTAAAAAAAGTGTTTGTAATTTGCATAAAAATTAATATCTATTAGTTATGGATACTATTGAATATTCACTCTATAGAATAGTAATTTAACTCAACAAACTCGAATGACAATAATAATTTTTTGGAATTTCTTATTATCCGCCACCTTATCTGATAATCAAATCGAAGTTTGATGTCATAATCGCGTTACATCACGTTTATATTATTTTTTTTAACTGATTAACTTTTTTATAATAATAAGATTTTTTATTTGTAGTACAAAAATACATATTAAATTATATTTTTGCCTAAAATATAATTATATATAAAGATTTTAAGTCAATAGGTACTGCCTTATAATGGAGTGAATATTTAATAGGTGAGTGAAATAACCACTCAGTATGTATAAATGGAATATTCAATATATTTAGCTTTTCATATCTTAATATATTATACTCAATTATCGAAACTTGTACGATTATTCTTTCGATAGTATCCATCTTAAAATAATCGATTTTGATTTTGGTGCAAATTAAATTTCCTATTTCTTATTATCTAACATGGTGCAAATTACATAGTACTATTATTTTGGTGCAAACTACAAAAGCAGTTTAAAAATGTTAGTGCAAATTATGCATGTTGTAAATATTTAGGGTTAATTTTTGTGCAAATTGATTATGCCCGTCATAACTAGTTTTTCATTTAAAATATTGATACAATTGACAATAAAATATAGATAGTATTCTTACCGTTAGATTTTATATATTTTAATATATCTTAAAAGCAAAATGTAAACAACTTTTGAGTCAAAATAAAATTAAGCACTTGATATTAATTTATAAAACAGTAAAACTCGAATTTATTATGAAAACAAGTTTTTCTATAAAAATGGTCTAAGCATTTCATCAGCTGTAGTAGCATTTGCAGAGTAGCCGAAGAAATTCGTTACCAATTTATTGCTGTAGATAACATATAAATATCAAACAATACAGCGTTAAAATCATTTGAACAGTAATACCTCGAGTTAATATATTCAAAACTGAAGCACCTTAGATTAAATTGTCAACAGATCCCATAATAGTACATTAGAGAAAATGGTTTGTCATTTCCTTATACGATAATCATCCTAACATTTTAGTTTATTTTATTAGCTTACTTGACGAAAATTATCCAGTAAGTATTCAAAAACTATATATATTGTACGTAAATACAACAAGAATATTAAACTTTGCTTTTTTATAATAGTTTGAAGAATTTTTTTCGTTATTATAAATTAATTAAGTATTTTTTTTAAATTTATAATTTACTGTTTAAAAAATTTTTAATTGTAATAAAATATACTAATTATTTTACTTTATTGTCTAAAATAATATTAACATAATAATATACTAGTCAGATTACCTATACCAACCTTAGAGATTATGTAACATTTTTATACATCGGTATAGAACAAATTATACTATAATCGAAGTAAAAATATATTTCGCTTTACATCAAACCGACCAACTTTGAAATATTAACTATTGAACAGTTACAATGTTAAGATTAAAATTGTAAATCGTAGTAAAAAACAAAGGTTTAAATATCAACAAAATAAATAAATTATACGTATACCAAAAATGATCACTGAAAATAAATCGACAATGTTTAGAATATCAGTAAAATATTTTATTACTTTTAGTTATTTGATACATTTTAAGTACACCGTTATATTCGCCAATATGTGTAAAGATCATTTTTGATCTAGTATATTAGTCGATCTTAGTTTAAGACACGCTTATATATTTGAAAACGTACGAAAACATTTAATTATAATTACAATGTAAACATATTGTATTTAATCGTTTTTATTAAACAATAATTTGTTTTATAATTTTTATACATTTTTTTTTATGATTTTTATTTTACGTTTTTATAAGAATATTACAATATTAAAAGATTTTAATAAGTTAACAAGTCCCGAATTCCGGTTAAGACTTATGAACTTGTAAGATGTGGTAAACAAATTATGGTTATACTAACCAACTTCAGCAAGTACCTAGGTACTGAATAATTGCAAAGACTATAATATATAGAACAGTGATTTTAGTCATATAGAATAGGAGAAAATCAGTAGAAGGAAAAAATATATCATGGAGTAAGCAATTACCGTACACTCTTATTAAAGTTAAGAAAAAATGATCAACATTTATTGATAAATATTTGTCCGTATACATACACATAACAAACAATTCTCTAAAAATGCGTTTTTTACCTTTAAAAGAATACGATGTACGGTTTTTAGACATAAAACTTTTTTTCAAAGGCATATCACGCAATATTACCCATATCGAATCAAAAAGATATCCGAAATCGTGTGTTTACAATATATTATGATATTGTCAACAGATTTTTAAGGTTCTACCATAATAACAATCCCCTTCCACTTCCCTTAGCACGACGTAGTTTTTTTTTCGTACACCCATCACACGACTACCTACGGTCTGGTATCGGTCATCGGGGCAGTCGCATTCGTTCAGTCTTTCCAAACCGGTGTATGGTTTTCGTGGTGAGTGCTATGACTTTAATGCGTTTCAGGCCTATATGATAAATATTTTTTTTTTTTTTGCTTTTCAATTTAATTTCTCTTCTATAAGTTTAACAATATTCTATATTATAGTAATTTTATTTAATAGGTGAATGTTATGTTGCACGTTTATTGATATTTGTGATTTTAATTACGGAGTTCTACTACCCAATCACTGCGGTGCGGTACGATCACGGGGTATTGGCTTTTGCTGTACAAGATTGTATACTGTGAAGAATATATCAGTCGACAACCACTGTATAAGACGGCCCGTGACAAAATATAGCTATCGAGGTACGTACAAATATAACATTGCAATTTAAGATATTATTATTATTTCTACTAGATTTTGGATGTATACATCTCACATTTTAGAAAGGGGTTGATATGAACAATTTTCTAGTACTTTTTAAAATAACCGGGTAAAAAAATATAACGAAAATATAGAATTTTTACGTGAAACCAATATTCGACAAAATCGATTTTGTTTTATTGGTTTAAAATTTAAAAACCAATAACCTTAAGATACTTGTAATTTTCACTGAATTTTATACTATCATTTGTTATATATGTGTATAATTTTCAGTTATTTATTGACATTTGAAATTTTGAATTTTTTTTCCATAAATATCGATTAAAATGTTTTCACTTAGTCGAAAATCTTGGAAATTTAACACAAGGTTTCTCTAAAATGTATTTTATAATAGCTATGTAGAAATATTAAAAATACACAGGTTTGATTTTTTTATATGCACTTGAGTTCAATAATGTGCGAAATTAAATACTTTAGCGAAAAATAATTATTTTAGTTATTTTGTTGTAATTTAAAATATTATTTGTGGGTAATTTTTAACACAAATTATTTTTAAGAACTTGATGACATTTTTAAAGCAAAATTTTTGGCAAAAATGTCTTTAGTATATTGTATTACTTATATTTAAATACTTTAATAATTATTATAAATAACAATAATTTAATTGCTTTTATTAAATATGTGTAAAATGTACGCACATGTTATTTTAGAACTATTAATATTGTTTACAATAAATTATGACACAACTATAGTATATGTATATGTTAATATTTAAGTAGTTAAATTTTATTTTTATCCAAAAAACTAATATTTTATGTTTTTGTTAACAATACTTTTGCTTAAAAAGCATATGCTAATTTTATAACCAACAGCATATCAAGTAAATAAAAATCTATTTAATACGTTTTTAGCACTGTAATAATTATATTATGGTCATTAATTTATCACTTATTCTGGAAAATAAAATGTCCTGAAACAATGGCAGTAATACTGTAATCAATTTGATCGCTGTAGCGTTTGTACATTGTTCAATCCACATTTTTTTTTCAAAAATGCTTATTAGACTAGGGCGCATAGTAAAATTGGTTTACAATACTGGTTAAATGATTAATTTCGTTCATTTTGCTAAAAAAATGTTTACGTTAGTGCTGTACTGCGATTTTTGTCAAAATATATTATTTTTTCAGCGTTACATGTTTTGCATTAGTTCATAAGTAATGGTAGAGAGATTTATATAAACTACAGCAGTCTAAAATATAGTGTTATTTATATAAATTTATAATTTCTTTTATTACACGTTTACAATTTGCTTTTGAACACTCGTATAAAAAAAAAAAAATCGGTCGGGCAAATATACATACTGTTAATTGTTACTACATCAAACGAACCTTTTTTTATTCCGTCAAAAGAATTTCGAAAAAAATAATGTATTTATGCGACTTATTTCCGAATTCCGTACATTTACTAATCTCAATATAATGAATATATATCTATATGGTAAAGTTTATAATCCATGCACATTAACGTTTTGTGTTCATGTCACCGCGGGGTTCCTGACATATATATATTAGTTACTTATCCGAAGAGATTTTTCTATTGTTACATCTACGGGCTGCAACTACTATATAAGCGTAACGTTCACGTACATACTTCACAAATCACTAGTACCTACCTCATATACCTTTTTTAATAGCTACGATAACGTTTCACCGTGTTATAATATGTCTTTTGGATTTTTTTAATAGGATTATCTCTAAGATTTTGCAAGACGAATCGAAGAATGTATTGGTTTTACAATGGCTGGTCTTTTTCTATATGTTTGTTATTGCCTTTTGGAACAGTAAAATTTCATTAATCATCAACTTTTAGTTTAGTTTTTTTGGTAGTAAATCATATATGGTTGTCATTTTGGGAATAGAAAGAAAAACATTCTTAGTGCTTTTGAAAATAACTGTACAAAACTCAGGTTCGATAAAATTTATTTTCTTATTGTGTTGTAATTCAAAAATGAATAACCGTACAGACTTTTTTTGAGTACTTATACACTAAACCTGTGCATGTCACACATGGATATTGAAATATTATAAATTATACTTAGGTACTATTTACATTGATAATAAAATAAAATAAATTTTTAACATCTCTAATCGTTATTTATTCTTTTTATGAGTGTAGGTAAATTAAAAATATTAAATTAAACGTTCAAATTGTTCTTAAAATCTTACGGTAAATCAAAATAAACGCAGAATCATTTTTCTAAATCCTGTGGCTTATAATTATAGACATTTGGCATTATTATTTTAATTTAGTCAAAATAATAATTATACATCAGTATCCCGTACCGGGTTTAGTGAAACGAGACGAGAGTTCATACAGTCGGTTACTGTATCCTGTTAGCTTTTTGTACTGTAAACAATATACATATTACGTCATAATTTGTAAAAACAACAATCCACTGTTCTGATATTGTTTTAATTAATATAACTATCAATACAATAAACTAGTATAAATATGTATGTTTTTGTTTCATCTGACAATCACTTCAAAGAAATTTCAATATACTTTAAGAAAACAAATTCCTTACCATATAGTTATTTCAAAACGAATTAAAAATAATTTTTTAATATATACTTAAACGTCATTAATCTATTAACAGATGATCTCCTGCAAAGTTCACAATTTAACTCACTAACTAAGACTTTTGTTTTTTTACTACATATATTATAATTTATAACATGAGATACTAGTAACTTTTAATTTACGAATAACAATTAAAGAGGTAATATTATTTAATAATGATTCTTTGCTCCACTTGAAAGTTATTTAAATTTTAAAAACCGTACTAAAAAACTATTTGAACTAATATTAATTTCATTTTATTAAAGATAATATATTGATATATTATGTATTATTATATTTATTCAAATATTACTTAAGTAATACAAAAAAAAAAAATCACTCCACTGCTGTTTAATAGGTTTCGTCTGCTTAAAGTATATTTTGTCATTGAGTAGGTAAGTGTGGTTATTAGAGTGTAGATTTAAATGCAAAATGCATTAATTTTTGGGAATTCCAAGAAAATAATTTTCAAGTATAAAATCTGTTTCATGCGTGATAGAATTGAAAGCGTTAATCATTTTTGATAGACATTATTGCCGTTAAGTGCATTTTTTCTTTTTATTTATTAATAATACCTATTTATTTATTTATTTATTATTTACCTATTTAATGATTTTATAATTTAAATTAATTGTAATTTAATTTATACAATATAATGACATTAATTAAATAGTCTATTCAAATATTGATAATTCAAAATAAATTAAATCATAAAACTACTATGACTTATTTTATATTTTCTTAAATAAATGATAAAATTATAGCAATAATAATATTTCTATATTTTATATTATACCAAACAAATCAAATTTAAATCATTGACTAGCCAATATAGAATTTTTCACATAAAAAATATATCACATTAAACGAAATATTGTTTTTTTTTTTTTTATGTTTGTAAGTATGAAATGCATTAACAAATACTAAAATTATTCTCCACAAATAAACGGTAGGTACCTATGTAAAGTAATAAAGTGTATATCTATCATAATATTATACAAGCATTTAAATTGATGTCGTTGCTTTTTCAAATGTACCTATATATTTCAAGAATTTGACTTAGAATTCTTGTACTTTACATGAAATTATTCACTAAAACTTTCAAAAATGTATTGAGATTATTTATAGCAATATATTTGTAAATATGTAAACATGAACGTTTTATTACTATAAATAATATTGTGCATAAATTACTACTAACCTATATTTATTTTTCACAATTCCTGATTATTCGAGTCTTAGGTATATTAATTTTGTTTTGAATTCGATTGGTTTTCTATTTGTGAACATTTGAAAATTTAAATTCAAAAAACTTATCTAATTTCAAATCACTTACAGATATGTTCTTCTTAGTATATTCTTTGATTTAAATTAATTTAAAATTAAAATAATAACTATTTTCTTAATATACATGATTTTTACGACCGTATATTTAACGCATAAATTCATATTTTTAAATTACTCAAATTGTATGATTATTTATTTCAATGCATATAAATTGATAAAAGCCTAATGTTCCATCTTCGAGTCTGTTGAGTAGAAGATTAACAATATTATAGTATAGTAAATATTATGCCTAGTGCTTACTTGACAATTTTAAATATTAGCTTATAAATATTATTACGATAATAATTATTTTCAATTATTATAGTACCCAACTTGAAAAACGTTAATTATTTTTATGACACCCACAATTATTGTTTTCACCGGCGCGGTAAATAATTCGATAAATCGCATACGTCCGGTGGTGGCGGTGGTGGTCACAGAATGAAACCACTGAGTAATATTTTTTTTGTTTTTATGTACGAAATTAATTTATTAAAATCGTTTATGTAAAATATTTTTACTATAGTAACACACACATATTATGGTTTTCAATATTTTAAACTAATTATTTGGTATACTATGGTAACATATACACACAATTTACACAGAAAATGGCGTGATAATGGCATAGTGTAAAGAGTACTTTAAAAATGTTCAAAACTACTCAAATTTATTTTTATTTTTTTGTAAATAAGTTAATTTAATATAATATTTAAGCAATTTTGGGATTTTATGATTTTAGTTAGACGTAGGGATACGAAGTTCTCTAAAGAAACACTCAAATGGTTCTTAAATAAAAAAAAAATAATACATTTCAATCAAATCTAATATCAATTTGGTATCTACATACTTAGATATATCCTATTATCTATTACCTATAATTAAAATATATTAATATACACCGTTATTAAATCAATTAAATATGGCTAATTTAATTGAAAAGAGAAAAGTGAATGATTTGAAGTTTCTATATAAAATAGTAAATGGTTTTCTTTACTGTCCTGAATTACTTAGTTGCTTCAATTTTAATGTCCCTCATTATTATACTAGATCTGCACATATGTTTTATATTTCATTTCAAGAATGAAATTAAACACTTGGCTTACCTATTGATAGATTAATGAAATGAGCTAATAACAACTAGGTTGATTTATTTAATTTTTATACTTATGATTGTTTTGTAGTTATAATATTACTAATTAGTAATTATACATAAATATTTTTTACTTTTCCTCTAAATTTAATTTTTGTTATCATAATTATTTAGATATCATTATAATTTATTAGTCATTTATTCAATCAGATTTTAGTTACAAATGCAATAACTATAAAATTTATTAGTAGGTTCAACTCGTTGAAATTAATAAATAAATATTATTATTTTTTTTATAAATTATAGGTCACTAGTATATATTGTTTCAAAATATTCAATCGTACATACACATGAGACATTTTAACTAATAATTATACGATCTTGAATTATACTTTGTTATTCCACAATTGTATTTATTTATATTATGTATTTTTTAAACAGTCAAATCATGATAATTTATATTGAAGAATGACGATTATCAATATCATTAATTCATTGTTAAAAAAAAAAAATAAATAACCACCTTCTAAAAATTTAAATCAAAATATTTATTGTATATTTAATTTAATTTTTGAATAGTATATTATATCGATTATAATAAGTATTTTAGAATTTAATTCAAAACTTAATATATGAATATTTTTACGTAAGTATTGACATTGATTTATTGTTTTAAACGTCAACAAGTCGACAGCCCCCAGCGTTATAAGAAAATTTTAGGGGATGTGAATTTTTTTTTTAAAATTAAGATTACATTTGAATAGTTAAACAACTACGTTTACACACTCTGCACCTCTGCAATATCTAAGTGATACACTAATACAAATTATAAAAAGTAATAATTTACAAATTTTAGTAATTAAATAAACGTAATATTTCTGTAATAGCATTTAATCAAAAATTGAAAAATGTGTACCTAAATTGTTATTGCATTGGTAATTTTTTTATTTTTGTTTAAAAACTATAAAATATTGCAATCTATTCATAAATTATTTTAAAATGTACATCTCTTTTTGAGATATTTTCAGTAAACGGATTTTGATTCTTTGTTTGATTCCACTTAGTAGGGTACCTAATTATTGTATAGAAAAACAATGTTCAATGATATAATATACAATATATATATTTATTAATAATTTCTATCCATGCTATCAGATATATTATATTACAACGTGTGGTATGTTAACGAATAACGATGAACTGTCACCAACGACCGTAGTAAGAATTCATATTTGAATACACCAGTTTTTATCCGATCACTGAAGTTGGCGACATCGAGCGTTATTTGGATGGGTGACCGTTAGGAAACACTACATTTCGTTGACATATCTTTTTTTATTTAAATGCATATTAAAAATAATAAATAAATTATCAAATAAAATAATAATAAACATAATTTAGAGTTTTTTAATTAAATTATATATTTTTCCAGTGATATTGACTAAAACTTGCTTATGTTAATGACGTCATCATTTCTAGGTATATATTATACCTACCAATAAAAAAATATATAAAAAAATGTATTCATTTTTTTTTGAATTTTTGAATTTTCATAGATTATTGAAATATTTTTACGGGAAACAGATTGGATACGCTTTATTTAAGTTGTCATTAGCATTGTAAGATTAAGTGATATTATGACGTACTCTTTCTGCACAACTTTTATGTTTACCTTAACAAAAACCAAATTAAAAAAAAATTATTACATAAAGAAGATAATACACAAATACACAACACGTACATTCAATTGTCACATCATTGAACGTCGTACATATATAACTATTTAGTGCTTACAAATATTATGACGTGGTATACTTAAGTGTAACGTGTTCACTATTTACGATAAAAGCGACAATGAACATAATCTATTACGAGTCTAGACGTTTATAAGTTATAACTCATTACTGTGATTAACTGATATCTGATTAAACAAAAAAATATATAATTTTAGAAATATTATCATTTATAGTTTTTTCTCCGAGGTTAAAACATTTGATATCTTTACTTTTTCACGGTAATTCATTTTTATTAAATTTTGATATTTTTAATTTGTTGTTTTGGTCGGATATAAATTTATACAATGCATTAAAAATATAATTAGTATGTTTATTTAAAAACAATATTAAATACAAATCAATAATAAAGGTTATAATATTATATAACAAATCAACTGTCAATACTAACAAAATTTATAATTTTAAACATAAAATATTTACATATTATATTAAGTTTGAAACTCAGTGGAATCGTTAGTTAAGTTAGTAAGAATAGAATTTTTTAATTAAAGAAATAAAAAAAATTGTTTGCAAAATTTGTTTTTGCGTCTTAGCCACAATAACAATAGGAAATAAATTATAATATTTTTATGAATATTATTTTTACTTTGTACGTCTTAAATTTTAAAAATGATTACATTTTAATTGTTTTAAATTGTAATTTATAAAAGTATGTCAATTTAAAATAATAATAAATTAATTTTTTTTTTTGTTTTTTGAGACACAACATCAACAACTTTTCAGAATTAATAATTACGAATGACTATTAATGTTAACTAATTGGAACTTATGGTTCTATTATTCTTATTTAAATTGATTATTAAATATCCTTATTAACAGCTCTCTGCCTAACCGCCTCTGCTCAGAATCGTTTTTTGTGTAGGTACAACAATTTGTCATTGAATTTAAGTTTAACACGTCCATTAAAATTTACAATATTAAAATAAATGCTGAATAACAAGATTCATTTGAAACCTATACCTATAGCAAACAGAGTTCCCTGGTTTATTTTTTTATTTTGATACGTTTTATGTAAATAGCGTAAATAGTAAATATAAAATGTAAATAATTATTAAATTATTTAGAATAAGTACACTTATAGTACATTTTATTGTTTTTAGCTTTCGTCGTGCATTTAATTAATGTGTATAATTAGTAAAATAGTTAATTCAAAATATTTGCATTATTTAATTTTTATTTTATGAAAACATATCACATAATTTATTTCAGATTTTTAATAGTTTTTATTTTTTGTTACATGTGATCAACAGAGATATAACCATGGTACGGCAACAGCATAAAGTCGTAACTTTTATAAACAATTTGATGATATTGGGACAGAAATGGTTGATATTACTATCAATAGCACTAATATTAGTTGATTTTTCAAATTCTTCCATAACCTGTGGACCAGGCATATATTCACCAGGAGGTAAGTACACGGATCGCTCTTAATAAATAAACTTTAAGCTAGTCATTGTATGGTAAACTGAAAAATTTTCAAAAATTAAAGATAATGAAAAGTGAAAAATATATGTTCTCATGGGCCCCTATACGAACTTGTTCAATGGGGTTCATTATCTGTACGAAAAAATATATAATAATAACAACAATGATTTATAAACACGTCAGCCTGCAATATATAATAAATTTTTAGATCAAACCAGAAAATATTTATTAAAAGCTATTTTGAAATATCATTTCAATACCTAATTATTTAAATTGATTGTTGATTAATTTTTAATCGATTTTCAACTTTTGAACTTGAAAATTGCTGATAACTAATTATTTTTGGTGCAATTTAAAAAATAAGAACATTTTCACCAGGTTTAAATATTAGTATTTTGTACATTAGTTTCTAAAAACCAATTTGTTTTTCGTGCAACTATTGTTTCGCGATCTGTAAAATTTCAAAATGAAATTCGATACAAATTAATTAATATTTATTTATTTATATTTGTTTTGTAATTTCAGGAACTACTCCGAGTGGTGATATTTTCATCGAATACAATAATGGTACTCCATTGGAAATTACATGCGTTTTAAATCCTAATCACGAGCTACTGCAGAGCACGCTTAGTTACGATGTTGTCGATAATGATAAATCAAAACTACTAAGCCAGAGAATCAGGTTCTTTAAGAACGATGGACGCGTAGCAAATCAATATGTATCGATCGTCAATTCGACGGCGGCCCAATTGCGCATACCAAATCCCCCAGAAAGTTCAGATGTCTATACATGTATGGTATGTTTGGATGAAAACAACCCTAGTATTGTATCTAAACTGGCTCGTCTTTCATCAATCAGAAAACGAAATAGCATTATAAACTCTATTGGATACCATCCAAAGGAATCACACGATACAGACATCGGAGTGTGCCTTAATAATGTTTATGTCGGATGTAAGTTAACTCCAATTGTATAACCTATATAATATTATTTTATTTATTTAATCCTTATTTTTCAGATATTTTAGAATATTTTTTATTTTAGATAGTTGATGTACTGGAATTGGTACCAATTAAATGCGCTTAGATACTTAGAATCATTATAAAAAAATGCACATTCATCGAATTTTGAAATATTATAAAAACAAACTATGATCCAAAAATATTAAATTATTTAAATATTATATTGTCTACACTAGTATTAGATGATAATCTATGCAATAATTCAAATTTTAAAGATTTTCTTAGTCGTTCCATCGTAACATTTTTCATTATTTATTTATTCTAATTGAATGTAAAGATATAATGCAGTTTGTGTTTGGATTTAAATTATTGATTTTGATTTTCGATAAAAACATTCAAAAAATACAGTAACTTAAAATAAATGAATTACCATGAAAATGTCTACATGAGAATTAAAATTTGATTGAAATTATCTCAGATGATTTATCAAACAGGAGACAATTTGAAAACGTGTAGCGTTTAACTATTTAAATATTTACAATATAATAGAATATTTGTCAAACATAATTTTTTTATAATTAATAAAAAAAATAAATATTTTTAATGTTATTGACTAATACGCATATGATTATAAACGCTCTTAAAAAGGAAAAAACATTATTTCATGATCATTATAATTTATATTTATAGAATGTATGATATACGTTTTTATAGTATGCAGACAATAATGTTAAATCGTGTTAATTATTTAGTTGTATTAGTATTTTTATATAAATGGTCTTTTTTTAGATAAGCCTCTCAATGTTACAAATTTCTCTTGTGTCTCTAACAACTGGGAAAGTTTAACATGTAATTGGACTAAACCGGAGAACCCGATAAAAACCAATTATAAGATATACTTCAGATTGCCCAGTCGTGCTAAAGTCAGGTATTTATAAGCGTATAACTGCATTACTTACGATATGCATGAATGAAAACAATTTTTTTTTTTTTTTATAACACATAAACATTTATTTTTACTTTCAGAAGTTTCTCAAATTGTCCTACAGATTCGGATGTCAGAGAAAATACTTGCACTTGGGATTTGACTACTTCACCGCTATACAGACAATCATATGAATACTATTATTTCACAGTAATCGGCGAAAATCCACTGGGAATATCATCAACGTTAAATCGTTTTCACCACTATGCCAATAGTAAGCACACCTACATTACACATTATATTTTAAATATGTTTAAATTTAAAAAAAAATGAGTACTGTATATATACACCTGATAATTATATTATTATTGTTTTCTAAATGTTTAGTTATTCCCGCAAGACCAACAAAAATTTCAGTTATTGACAAAACAGAATCGAGTGTCAAGTTAATGTGGTCTTTAGGTACAATGTCATTTTATTCACACGGATTAATTTTTAAGATTGAATATAAATCTCAATGGGATTTCAATCCTGAACACTGGGACGTAAGTGTTCAAACTATACACTAATAAAAGTTAAAACAACATTGTAATTTGATGTATATTTTTTTCCCGTATAGACTATAAGTGTAAATGAATGTGATTCGAAATCTCAACAAACCACTTCAGACCAAAATATGAACTGTGTATCACATGACGCGGACAAGTATTACTTCAACGTCACCAATTTAAAATATCCATTTACGCGTTACGATTTTCGCATTTACCTTCGGACAACGCTTGCTGATGAGGATAAGTGGTCAGCTCCTGGTAACATCACTGCCGACACCAAGCCCACAAGTAAGTTAACTTTAATTTATCTTTATGATAACCTAACTTACTCGGAGGTAAGTTGCATATATTTTGTTAAACGACAATAATTACGACAATGATGAATATCTAGTACCTATCCAATATCGATCATTAATAATCTGAAATCAAGTAATAAAACATTGAGTAATCTGTTGTTCATAATCATTCATAAATAATTAGATAGTATTTTTTTCTATTGTAAAGTTACATTGTTGAATGATCAAAATATATTTTATAGTTCCAAACAGACCACCGCGAACTGACATTGGGAGCTTTGAATCTGTCATTTCGCCATCGGACAAATCCAAAAGGGACGTGTTAGTATATTGGCAAACTATTGAAGAAAACGAAAAGTGTGGCGAATCGTTTGAGTATATTGCTTATTATGTTTATACGACAGCAGATAAACAAACCATGTAAGTACCGTTCGTCGATTAGAAGGACGTTTAACATCGGTGTTTTTAAGGGGTTATGTATAGGATATTTTAGTAATAATAGCAAACGTCACGAGAAAATGTATTTAAAGCATTTTGATGAACATAAGCTATAAGTTACTGATTATTTTAATGTGATTTTAGAGATAAGTTTTAAACTTGAATATCAATAATTTATTGAATAATGTATAGGCAATTTTCAAATAAAATACATGATATCTTATGTTAATAGACAAATGTATAATTTAATATACAACTTATTTTTAAATTTTTATTATTAGAAAAAATTATATTAGTTTTCTATAATGGATCAATCTATTTTACTGTCCTTTTCTTGTACAAAATTTTTTTAACCAAAACTAAAAGCCCTAACAGAATTATTTTTTCAACTTTTACCTGTTATTTACGATATTTATCTAAACTAATTTTTATTTATCATCACAGAAATCGCCGTAGCGACGAAATGTATAAAAATTACGCCAAGTTCAAAGACCTCAGTACCAAAATCGGCTATGAGTTTATAATATTATCATCCAATAAAGAAGGTTTTTCTTCAGACCATTCAAAAGTTTACGTACCTAGCGAAACAGACAGTGAGTATATATATCAATCATATAAATGGTTTATATTTAAGTTTATTTCTAATTTTTATCTAATTGTTTTTGTTAAACGTTTCAATTTGCAGAACTTGAAAAACCATTATCATTAACAAAAAATGTATTTGACAAACAAGGGATTTTCGAACTATCCTGGAAACGCGCAGATGCTCAGAAATTATCCACTGTTAATCGACTAAACTATTATACAATATTTTGGTGCGAAAAAGACATGGTCTATCCACAGCAGTGTAATGTATGTGAATAAATCTATTTTAATTATAATTATTGTCCAATATTATTGATATTAACTGATTTTTTTAATGTTTTGTTTTTATTATAGGGTTATATGAATTGGATGCATGTACCGATTACAGTATCTTCTTACAATACTACTGTAATTGACAACATGGAAAAATATATTTTTGCAATAAGTGCCAACAGTGAAAATCCTGCCAAGAATGATTTAAATAACCTTGAAAATAGTAGTAGCGGAATGGCGTGGGAATCATGTACGTAGCTATTTAACTGCATGCGTGTTTTAATAAAAGAGCCTTCCTGTAATAATCGAATAACAAAAATTTTTCTGTATATATATGTATATTTTTTTTTCTTATCATCGTTATTTATTGTATTTTGTAAATCGTTTTATGACTGATTAGACGATGACAATGTAGAGAACGTTTGGGTTAGTATGGTTGGCTCGACATTTGTGGGTTTGAGCTGGAAAGTCTACTGTGACGACAACACTGGTTTAGTTATTGGATATCACGTATTTTACTGTTCCATAATTTCCAAAAAAAATACCCTTTGCAAAGGTAAGACATTAAAAAAAAAAAATGTAATGAAAACTTAATATAAATTTTAAGCATTTGGTTATTGGTTATGGTATTTAATTTTATTAACTTCAAATATTAATATTGTATTGTGCATGAAATGAGACAACGGGATCTATTAATTAAATTTTTAAGAATTAAATTAAATAATCCCTAACTTAACTTCATTCAAATTTTTCTGATCTGACTATGAAATGTATTTTAATATGATATCACAGTGTTATCACAATCACACACAATCCAATAGATTTTTTAGGAAAAAATATTTATGTTTCATATAATAATAAGTGTACTTAAAATGGACCGCAACGTCAAATATTATGTTTTACAATAACAATAATAAATGTTCATAACATTAAAATCGGATTAAAATTAATATTATAGTATTCATTATACTTTTGTATTAAAAAATATACCGTTTAAGATATTTACCTTTTGATTATTATTATAAGTATAAATGGCATTTGATAAATTATTTAAATGTATTTTTTAAATGTAATTTTATTATGTGATAATTTTTTTTAATTTTTTGTTTTCGTAAATCAAATTTCAATTTTTGTTTGTGAACGATTATTTTATTATCTTATCTTAATTTGTATATTTCTCTATGACTTTAATTGTAATATTTTATTTCATAAACTATAATTTAAAATTAAATACTTGGTATTTTTATTTTATAGCATTGTTTATTTATTTATTTGAAAATTAGATATTTAAATTATATATCTGCCTTATAATAATACGGTATAAATTAGTGATGCATGAAAAAATAATTTAAAATAAAAATAAGTAAATAAAATATGAAAAGAACAGCAGAACGACGGATCCTCATTAGGTATTAGTAGAGCTCGGAACTTATTGCATGAAAAATTCTTAAAAAATGCATGCAAATATGCTTGTATAATAATATGCACATTTTCTATTTTGAAAATATATAAACACCTATAAAAATACTAGAGGGAAAGAATTTCAAATACACATAATATCTATAAATTATTAAATATTAATTGAAATAATTTAAATTTGGAAACGTTATAAGTATCTACTCATATATAGTTAAAAATGAATTGATAATTAATAATTGATGAATTACTAATTGCTTCTTACTAATTTAAAATGGAATTTTTTTAAATAATATTATGTTTTTGATTGTTTGCAACAAACTACAAGAAAAAAAAAACAATTAGAATTCTTTTCCTCTTATTCTTAATTATTTTACCATTAAAATGTGTTATTGTACTGGTAAGACATTATTTTTAATGTCCTCAAATTTGAATGCATGGCAATTACTATTTATTTATCATCGTGTTATTTTTGTATAGAAAAATATAAAATATTCCAATTAATGTTATCGGCATGTACTAAAATATACTAAGTCGTTAATGCGTCATTATAACTTTAGATACCTAATCCCTGCAAAATGTATTCATCTTGGCTGATGATATTTTGGAAAATACGATGACCGACAATATTATGTTCATAAAAACATTCAAATGCAAAGTTATAGAAATGCATTAGTATACCTATGCTAATACATTTTCAAACATTTTTTTCCTAAATTATGGTTAAAAATACAATAATATGCAAAACAAATGTTGTATTTACCCACGTCCTACTTTAGTTTGTTACTTACAAAATTGATTTGTATCTTACTACTTGGAATATTCTACGGTCATTACAAAAAAACATGAAAATTCCATATCCAAACCTTAGATATTAGTCAGTTTCGTAATTCGGGAAATGGAATTGAGATTTACATAATAATGGTAGATATACATTGAGCAACAAGGAATTATATTAATTAAGCTTATAACTGGAAGAGTACAGAGTTCTGGAACCACCACCCTTCCCAAAATTTTTAAAAGTAGAAACATTTTAGTGGTAAATATAGTTTATAATATTATATCTTTTACGTAAAAATGACAAGTGTTCAATATCTAAAACATCGGACTCCCGAAATTTTTTTTCAGTTACAGCCTTAATATTAACTCTAATGTTCTATTATATTTTGCACAATAATAATGCATGAGCTTTCTGATACGATTGTAAAGTAGTTAATTATGTTATAAAAGTTAATATTGTATTATTAATATCACATGTTTAAAAAAAAAAAATGTTTTATTTAAATAGATAACTAATTTTTATTAACGAGCATCATGATTTAAAATCAGTGCTAAGTTAAACAATTAAAAATTGTTAAACATTTAAAAGCACAGTTATACTTTTCAATAAAGATTTTTTTTTTAAATCTTATTATATACGTGTTATCATTGTAAGTACGCACAACGTTTACAGTGTCACAAAATAAATATAAATAAATAATAAATTTGTGCAAGAGAGTAAATTCAGTTGTATAATGTATGTATTATATTTTGTTCCTCTGCAGCATGTTTTTATTTCACTGCAGTAAAAACATGGTTTATTGGAAATTCTCTGCTCTAAAATATTTATTCTATCGTATAGGTTAGGCTAAGTACACATTACAGAGAAATAAAAGTTTTTCCGGAAATTTATCTCTCATATAAAAAATATTTACCGTGGACACATTATCACACATTTATACGTTTATTCGTCAAATAAATAATTGATAAAAAAAAATTATTTTACCAAATTGTGTTATTTTATATGATTTGAAAAAAAAAATTATGTTAGTTCTTACGCGAAGTGGCTACAAAGTATAAACATTAAGCTGTTAACATAATTTGATCAATATATTTTATTGTGCAACAAACTAATGTTTGCATAAATGTGTGTTAATATTGTGCACACAGTAAACATGTTTGTACGATCAAGCGATTTCTTTGTAATGTGAATACGGTTTAATAACGACTTTTGAGCGGATTATTGCCCAAAATTACCTCGATAAGTATATAGTTAAGATAAGTATAAGTTAAAAATATAATAAATTAGTATCCCTTAAAGTTGAATTTTTATTGCTCCTAAATTTAACGTTAATAAAAATAAAAAATACCATTGCAAGTCCAATACAATCATCGCTCCAACAAAAAATTGAAAACGTCATCCGACTTACTATTTTATCAAATAGTCGTAGTACAAATTAGTACATTTTGTTTAACATCTCAAAAACATTTAATAAAATATGTTGATTTTTTTACAATTATTACATTTATTTCATATTTTCTTGTAATGTTTATGAATTATGATTAATATTAAGTTATATTGTAAATTATAATATAACATTATTGTTTATTTTTTATGATAGCATTTGTCAATTGGTACATGGGCGTAGCTAGGATTTTAATCAGGAGACCCTCGCTACGCCCATGCATAGATATATATATATACTAACTATACATATGTTACGTACGTATACATTGTAATATAGTAGAGTGTATATCTGAGGAATCTTAAGCGTTTTAATCATTAGTAATTTCATCTAAATTAAATCATTTATAAGTTTAACATAATTATAATAATTATTATTATGGGAATACATATAAAAACATTATTTTTAATATTCAGGTTTAACTTCTAATATTCTAACCATAAATATCACGAATTATTATTTAAAAAATACAATAATGTGAAAAATCACAAGTATAACTATTTAGTATAAAAACAGTTAAATTATATAATACTCGTAATAATTTTTATACGACGATACATTAAAAGAAAAATAATAATAAGTCAAACTAAAACTTTGTATAACTTAACTGAGGTTTTTGCATACCAGCAATATTTTTATCAGAAAATGTTTAAGTTCAAGACATAGCATAAACATTGAACATAATTGCTCAGATACTATGTTTGCTCATAAATGTTTGTAAACTGTGTCAAAATAAGTATAGCCCCCTTTACAATTCTACTGAAAACCACTTCTTTTTTTTTACTTTTACCCCGTGTGTTATTTTATATTTTTTAAGTTATAACTATTGAATATAACTGAAATTCGTCTTGTTTTTTTCAGGACCTATGACCGTGAAAACAATGAATGAAGTTCACGAAGAAAAATGTGCGGGTTCTATGTTAGTTTCAAATCTAAAACCCTCATCGGCATATTTAGTAGCAATTTCATTTATTACGAGTAACGACCTAACTATACATTTTGAAATTCCCATTTCTACATTAAATGGACCAATATTTACATGAAAATATTATAAAACTAATTGAGTACAAATATATTATTATAATTTTTTTTTACTATAACACTTATTATTTTTAGAATCCTATTATTATTATTATTATTATTATTATTATTATTATTATATTACTAATATTATTTGCACATTATTATAATATGTTTGTACTTGAAAAAAATTAATTTTATTTAAGACAATAAGTATGACTATTTAATATCATTATTTCAAAATTTGTAACATAATTATTTTAATATTATAAGATTCATTAAACGTTGAATTTTCATATTTTCATATTATTAATAATTTATATCTTAAGTAAGAATTTAGATTCCGTATGTATATAAAAACAAAATGAATGCTCTCAAAAATAATTGTTGTATAATGTAGTCAGCATAAAATTGTGTACTTATTGTTTACTAACACAATACGCATTACTCAATGCTAGGGCGCTAGGCATTTGGTTTCAACTATTTATTTATCATAATATGTCTCAAAATTAGCTGAAAAGTATTTAATTAACAATTTAATAATTAAATGTATAACTAAATTCCCTTTTTTGTTTATAATATTTTTACACAAAATGCGTAGGTATTCAGTTTTCACTTCAAAATAATAATTTTGATATAGAAAAGAACTGTAAAAGTCTAACTTAACCAATAGATTTTTTCCATGATCTGAATAAAGGTATAAGTAAGGTAATAAGGTAATAAGTAAAAAAAATAAAGAAAAAAGATAACTATCTGTTGTACAATAGACATTTAGTGTACCTTGTCATTGAAATCACTGTAATATAGGTAAGTTTTAAATTTGTAACCAGTTATAAATTATTGAATAAAAAAAAAAAAACGATTTTAATCAAGAATTGTATGTTAGTGTTTAACCTATATTATTTAGTATATTTTATAATAATATATCGACATACTAATATTGCTACTAAAGGAATATGTTTTACTATTTTTAATACAGTAAGTTGAATTAATTTTTACCAAATTATTACTTTTGAAAATGTAATTTTGTGTTTAAAATATAATAATATACATCAAAAATTTCACGTAGTGTAAATATTGATAAAATAATATGAACTCGGTCAAAAAGGCTGAACAATTAACACAAAGTTGCTCATTAGTTTTTATCATAGCTATTTAAAAATATTAAAGATACATATTAAGCAAGAATTTTTACAAATTCAAAGTTGACAAAAAGCATCAAAATCGCGTAAATTTGCAAATAATAGTGTAGTTAAAAATTATGTAAATTATGTTTATAGTTAAGGATTAAAGTCATTTAAATCATTTAAAACAAAGTCTATTTTAAGTAATTCATGCTGAAACCAAAAAATTAAATACTTAAACGAAGACTTATGATTTTGGTTATTTTATGGTAATTTAATAATATTATTGAATAATAATATAATATTGAAACTCTTAACGTATTTTATTTTATTTAATACACACAATGACATTTTAAAATGCAGTGTTTTCGGCCAAAATGAATTCAACCTACTGTATTAACATAATATTATTGATTGTAAAATTAAAAAATTTTATAGCAATATCATAAAATATACTTGTCGTTCGCACTGGACGTTTTCGCTAGCGAATTAAAGTGTGTGACGTAAATTCCCTTTCCTTGTTAACGTTATTGCGTATTAGATAAACTGTCATTAATCATTATACATCAAAAGGTGTAAATTGAGTTGCTCGCCCAATTAGTTGCTGTCACTTTTCATTATTGATATAATTGACATCAAGTGGTCCTTAGGATATTTTCAAATTTATTATAACATTTAGTAATATTATAAATGTTGACAGATCGTTTTCTCTCATAATCGTCTTTTTTATGAAACGATTTGCTATTGAATTCGTGTTTATCACATACATGACAATGACTTACTCCTCAATAACGAGGCGAATTCGACGTCTAACATACACTGGTGCAGTTACTACTTAAATTCTATCTTTTTTTATTATTAATCAGTAAATATTATATTATTTCAACTATCGTCTTCATTATTATTATAGGTAGAATGTAAATTAACGCATTTCAATAATAATGTATAAATCAGTATGAATCATAATAAATAGAGGTTTTTTACATTTTTTGTATATCACAAATTACATTACAATAAACGGGAATTATTGCTTAATTTATATTTCATTTATGCTCATGTTGTGATCAATAATTTATGTTTTAATATTGGTACATATAATTAATTTATGTATCAACTAAATGTTTACAATACGCATATTAATAAGCTACTGGTATTTTGGGATTATCAATATTAACATAAATTATTACTATTGAATACCTACTATTACTGCTAAGTCTTAAACCAGAATTTTTCTATGAAAAATAAAGTACAACTATGAGAAAGTAGTAGTTGATTAAGATTTATGCTGTGCTCACTAGATTAATTTATTATAACCGTCCCCGACTACAGTTATTATATTATTATAAATTAGATACTTATTGTATCATTAAAACATTTTGATTTTGAATATCACACACATCTGAGCACACGGCAGAGCATCATGCAACGTGTATGTTTACACGGACCAATTTACGAAGTATTTTATCTTAGTATCTCTTATTTCTAGCTTCATTGATTTTTAAAATTAGCAACATTAATTTAAAAGAAATAACTTTGGATAGCGTGAGGAAAAATAACGTTAATAAGCGGTTAAACACGTAAATAATAAGTCGTTCTAACACGAGAGACTATTAAATTTTACATTTTCATTATTGACTAGGTAACAAAACAATAAGACACCATCCGTATAGATAGAAAAATAGATGTTTGGTTCAATGATTGGTCATATTTATATGACAAATATTAAAGTATATATTATAGAAAATATAATAATGAGTTATGATATTAAATCTACAAAGAAATTTTTTATTTTATTAATTATGTATAGTAAAACCAAATTATTTATCCGCGTTCTAAGTGGGTAGACGCTGTCTCATTGTCTCCTATAACGCTTCGCCACTGGTATTGTATTATTAAAAACTATGTGATCATGTATACAGGTATGATATATTTATACGAATATACGATTCAAATTCAAGAAGGTACTTATCCCGTTTGACGCCGGTACGTGGTTTTCCGTAAACCTATAAGTTAATTTAACTGAGAACAGCATTCACCGTGTTTCGGTGTGACGATAGATAATCCGGTCGCAGCAGAGATAATGGTGAAGAGGTCAGGTGACACTAACATGCTTTGATTTTTTTTTTTTTTTCGTAGTAATATTATGTATAAATACTTCAAGTCGTAGCCTGTGAGACTAAGAAATGATCATATCACTGCAGGTATGGTTGTAACAATAATTGTGCGATAACAAATAACGAACAAACGATCAAGTATTTGCGGTGTACTGGTGTAAACATTGTATCGGATAACGTGTGTTCGTCAATCGTAACAATAGGTATATTTCGTGTGACGGTGAGAATCAGAGGCCTTTGCCGTCGACAATGCTCCGTGCGCGACACAGACGGGAAGTCCCACATTGTTTCGTTAATGGACATAGTGGGGTGTCGCCCTTTCGCGTCGTTGTGTCCTTCAATGTCGATGGGAAAAATGGTAGACAAGTAATTATAGTGCTAGTAATATTGCTATTATTGTGGACCGTGCCAGACAATTCAAATGAATAATAATTGATAAATTTAAAAATTTAAGAAAGAAAAAATCATATTTTAATACCAATGATTATTAAAATAATAATTTGCATTATGTATAAATTTGAATTTAATGTTTTTGAATAGGAAAATACAAAACAGCTAATTTACATTTATATTATAATTTTTTATATTTATTTAATAAAAAATCAAGACAAAACATTTTGGATCAACTCTAAAAACCCTGAAATTTATTAATAATTTTCTATTATTTTATCAAGATATTTTGGATGTATTGTTTGCCTGTTATACAAAGAAGGGTCGTCCGCACAAAACGCCCACCTGCACGTATAACGTTACTGTAGCATAGCTACAACATTTTATTGTCTGCAATATTCTTACGAATACATACGTCCATACTGCGTATAAGTTTGTATGTTGTAACATGATCAATGTATTTTTTCCGATTTTCGTCAATGTGTTTATGTTGTTCAGAAATAATTATTATCTGCTTTTGTTTTTTTCTTCACTAAATAATATCCGATCAGTGACGGATCCAGAGAAGCCTAGGGGCCTCACCTTTCCCACCTGACCTATTCAACAGTCTCTTTACTTACACAAATATTTTAAATTTTGTAATAACGTCCCTTTAATCATTCCTTTCATATTTTTAGGAACACGTGATCTAGAAAGTTATAATATACATTTAGGTAGCTCAGAAGTTATTTTTTTAGAAGAGACAATTATTCAACCCTGGATCCGTCACTGAGTCGATCATTAAAAAATGATCTTAAGAGATCAATTACCTATTATTCATAGCTAATGAATACTATATTTTCTAAAACACTTAAAAGTATTCTTTTATTTTAAACATCTGTTTTAAATTATACTTTAAGTTTTTTTTTATTCTAATTTTAGTTGACGTTTACAATAATAATATTATATCTACAAATTTAAAATACACGAATAGAATGATCACTATCTGTAATGTTATGGAGACTAAATAGCTGATAAAAAAAAATGAGTACAAACATTTAGAATTTGTAATAAGTGTTAATTTCGGTCGGTATATCATTAAACATTATAATGATGTTCCTTTTTAGAAGCATGTGAAATTTCCAAAATATACTCGTACATAAATCATTTTCACAAATTTCGCAATTAAATTATTGTTTTACTTGTGATAATTTAACACTAATAAAATATAGGTAAGACTTAAGGTCGTATGATAAGTATTTCACAAAATGGAATGTTTAATATGAATAAGTATTAGTCACACACAGCGGTGCAATAAAATTCAAGTAACATTCGATTACCTATAGCCGACGTGTTATTTGTTGTTCTGGCGTTCTATGTGACAAAAATCACAACACAATATGGCGCCGTCCTAAAACAAGTTTGAAGTTACATATTATATTAATAAACCTGTTTTTTATATGACATACAATGCCGGTCGCGGCCACGAACACAGCAAAATATAGACCCTCCACTCCGCGTTTAATTGCTGGACACCATTTTATACACTATTTATCTTTTACTTGGTAACTTATAAGCGTTGAAACTATTTGAAATATTTTACTCTCTATAAATGTATCAATGAAAAATATAACAAATCAAATTTTTTTAATTAAAAATTAACATACTTAATAATTTTCAGAAATGTTAGTAGGTACAAATCTGTAGTATATTAAACTATTAAAGTATAGTTACTTAATTTATAAATATATGAAACTATTTATTTTCATATTAACGTTAGGACTACAATCATATTTTTACAACTCTAGCCTTAGAAATTGCAAAATTTAATTAACAATTTATTAAAAAACTATCTTTTAAAATTTTCAAATGAGATAGGGATGGTGCAGCTGATAACTATAGAATAATAATAATCAACGTGTTTATGATATCATAACTTTTCAACGACGTGATTGTTCATCTATATATCTATCCATCCATTGTGTTAATTCTTTGGTTAGAGAAAAAAAATAAAACAAAATAACTTATAACTAAGTTTCCATCATTACGTTTTAACTAATGATCAGTGTTGCATACTAATAACAAATTGAAATGATTTGATCGGTCTGACATAATACATCAATTAAATTTAATTAGTCACTTGAATAAATCCTGCTATGTTTAAATTAATACAACTTTTCCAATTGCTCGTAATAATTATAAGTAGAATACCGATTCTTATATTATAGGATAATACCGTAAATGGAGGCCGATAAGATAATTGTATTTTAGTACCTACGTAATAACGATATAGGTACTTACCTCACAGTCAGCGACGAACCAAAGGGGGTCATAGCGAAATCACCCCCACCTCATTCAGCAATATTTAATTTTCAGTCGGCAAAATGAAATTAAAAGTTATTTAATAGTTAAAAAAAATTTGGAAATTTAAATTTTAGTCGGCAATTTTGAAGACTTACACCCCTCACGATTTTTTTCCGAGATTTTCCCTTCGTACAATGGACATAATATTCACGGTTACACTGTGTAGAAATACAAAATAAAAGCGGACAAGCGCGATGTCCAGGTTTGGCAATATTCAAGACACTTAAATGATTACAGTTATATTATTATATTTGTATCATAGCGTTAATATCTAGTGACATTGCTGATGTATATAGTTTTCGTCTAGATACGTCGTATTAATATTGTTGGTTGAATAATAAATTAATAATATTCAAGTAGGATGTCAGGAGTTAGGAGGGACAGACATTACATTTGATTTAATAAAGACCAATTTATATTCCACCACCACCAGAGAAAATTTTTATAATAAATACGTCGAGTCTCTACATCATTCGTTTAAACGCTAATAATTTATAGTTCAGTATGTTCTAGCCTTTTGGAACGACTCCTTCGTTCGTTCGAGGATTAGCGCCCAACTATCAGGTAAATTTCATCCACATAATTTTTGTATATCAGTTATTTTATTAGTAATATAAATAATTTTTATTATGTATATCGTTTATGTTGAGCGTGTCTGTTCAAGATAATGCCCAAGGCTTTGAATTTATCAATATAGACATTAGGGACTTGGTCAATTTGACGATTTATTCTTTGACTTCGATTCTTCTAAATTTATCGACCAAAACTTACTTGTAAGTCGTACTCCGATAATAGTGCGAATGTATAGAAAATAAATCAATTTAGAATTTACTATGTCATAAGTAAGCGCGACGAATCAATAATCACCATTAAAGATATGTACCTAAATTGTATTCTTGTTGTATAAAATATTTGAGTGAACGCAAATAAATTCTAAATTTTTTTAAGTGATTTAAAATTTAAATGATATTGATTGGTGTATATATCATTAATGAGCATTTAATAATTAATTAATAATCAATATTAAAATTTAAAGTATAAAAATCGTTTCGTATTAATTGTTGACTGCTAAAACCTATGTTTGTTTTAAATGGGGGTTATCCATTTGCGCCAAAAAAAATTAATTCGTTTTGGATACAGCCCATTTGCGTCATAATAAAAAGGTGTATTGTTTCTGACAGCCCAATCGCGCTAAATTTACCTACGTAATCATTTTACATTAATCAATTGGTTATTTAAAATCGTAAAATTGACTATGATTATTGATAGCTTATAATTTTCAAAAAAATATAAACTTATTAACTATTTATTACCTATCTATTGTTTAAAATAATTTGTATTATTATTTATTGGCTATTATTTCTAAAAAATTCATACTATTGACTATAATTTAAATAAAATTGTTTTGATTATTATTTGAGGAAAAAATATATTACTTTATTATAATTATACCAGGTACATTAAGCGCAAATAGGCTGTCGGTAAAAACCGGTAAATGTTAGTTGCGTCCCGATAAAAAGGTCCCGAAAATAACATACATAAGTTGCGGCTCGAGTTCCTGTCATGTATTATCATATATATTATCATTCAAATTTTTACCTTATTAAATTTAAGTCTTATAAGTTATCAGTTATAATAAAAAAATATACTAAAATCAATAATAATTTAAAATGTAAATAATAACAATTAATATAAAATGTATAAAAAGTTTAAAAACCAATATTTTTAACCATATAAATATTATGACAGTAATATAGACAGTCCTAAGACTTTTAAAATAAGACGGCAAATATTTGTCGAACATTTGTAACATAAATAAGTTTTAAATTTTAACAAGTTGACTGGTAAGCTAGTTGAAGTAAAATTGTTCCAGACGCTTTGAAAGTTAAATTTAATATTCGTAAATTTCTCCGTCTGCACTATCTGGAACATTATAGTTTATCATTAGATATATTGTTATGAAAATCTATTTGAATGCTACATATTAGTTTTTACAACAATATAAGTCGAATTAATTAGATTTAAGAAAAAAAAGAGAGAGTTAAATTAACTTCTCATATCCTTTTGTAACATTTTTAGAATTTTTCAATGGATTTTTTTCATATTATTATTTTTATTGAATTACCGCTTTTATTAATTAGTGATATGTCCGTTTTATTGAAGTAAAATACTAAACATTAATTTAATATTACTGTAATTCATTCAATAATATAGGTATTTTGTCACTATATGTAGTTAAGTTTAGTTCTCAAAGCGAAAATGGTAAGAATTATATAAAATTATTGAAGTCATTGTGTGTGATTAGTGAGAGTTAAATATAATGATCATACCAGTCAACTTGTTAATACAAAAAATAACCGGGACGCAATTTACATCAAAAAGATACATTGGGACGCAACTTACAGTCACCTGTAAAAACATACCTTTTTCATTTTGGCGTAAAAAAGCTGTACGCAAAATTAATTAATTTTTTTTTTTGGTACAAATGGGCGATGCCCGTTGTAAATGTCTAATTAAATTCATAATTTTTTACAGTGGTTAGTTAGTGAAGGTAATAAATTTATTTTTGTATTATTTACTGAATTACAGATTAGGTATTTGGGATGTAGTATATTTTCGTTATTTTTAGTATATTATTTAATAGTATTTTCCATTTGACAATATACCTACGTCAATTATTAATCTGTTTAAAATCATATTTGTTCGACTTTTTTCAGAAATCAAAGTTTAATAGAAAATAAAATAAACAGATATCAAATATTTTACCTCTATTTCATAAAGCAAAATAGTATTACTCTGTAAAACAATAAGTTTAAGATCATTCATTATTATTTACTTACTCTATATAATAATTTTAAAATTGAATATACCTAATAAGTAATAAAAAAAAGCAATTTTTTTTTTTTTATCATTGTATTTTATAATTTTAGGACAAAATATAGCGTATATTTAAAGATTTGTTAAGTTGTATTATAAAAAATATATGATAATTCTTTTAATTATAGTTCTTTAAATTTCTATCCATACTAATCATTAGTTTATTCGTATTATGTGATATTTAGTGTAATACTTATCTTTTATTTGATTAAATCACTAATATTAAAATTCATAAAATAAATGACTTTATTAATGTTTAGTTAAATGAATAGATAACATATATTATTTGTTTATAATCACATTTAAAATTTCGTTAAGTTAAACACATGTCATATTATATCCTTAAATTTTAACCTAAACAATAAGCATAGAATTCCATTTCCACCAAAAACAAAAGTGTTCCATTTACTGTAAATATTTATGTTACTTGTGAGCATTTTTACTTACTCGGAGTTACATGAAAAAAATTGACTTATAAATAATTTAACAAATAGTTTTTAATAGTGAAACTATATTGTTCGCGGATTAACAATGTTTTTTACTAAATATTTTTAATACGTAATATTATGGGAACACTCTTAATTTTCACCTAAAATTAAAATGTATATTAACTATTCATAGTTGTTATAAGTAGATAAATTCAGAACCAACAATTATTTTTTTATTGTTATGTTGAAAACTAAACGGCATTTTAAGTCTAACTTGATTAACAAGACTATTCAATTTAGTTACAATGACTAATGAGTGGTGTAGTTATGATTTTGTTCTAAGGGGGGGGGGGGGGGACATATAATTTATTGGTAAGTATAAAGTAAAGGATCTTATAACCATGCCCTTACAGCTCTATATTGCACATTATATTGTAGTTATAATATGACATGGGTAATTTTATAATTTTAAATCGAGTATCTATATGTCAATGCATTAAACATTAAAAAAAATAGTTTGGGGGGGGGGTCTATTTTCATTATCCCCCCTTTTACATAACTACGCCACTGTCTTATTAGCTAAGCTAGTGGTGACCAAGTACGGCTCATGGGCGAAATCTGGCCAACCATAATAATTAAAATTAGAAAATAAATATTTTAAAAATGTAACGTTTGTAAAAATTAATACTTAATATTTATATTTAATTTTAGAACATTATTTTTAATATTTAATAAATAATTAAATTTATCAATATACCTAGATTAAGATGTGCCTAAAATGAAATGTAACATTCAATTCAAAAATAAAGTTTAAATTCTTAGCCTGCCGAGATTTTTTTTGATTTTTTTTTAGTTCTCAGTAAAAAAAGATTGGTTACCACTGAGCTAAGTTAATAAATATTATTAATAAATTATATGTTATATATGTGATGATTTTTCATCTCGAATTAATTTAATGGAATTAATTTAATAATATCAAACGCTTTAAATTGACCAGTTCAAAGGTTTAAATTGGTTAACAAAAGGTTACTTAAAGTTATTATTGTATCCAGTTTTTTACTCTCGTATATGACATAATTCAATAATCAGGATGGATCATGTAGGTACCAGTATACAGAGAAGCGAGAGGTGGAAGGATATCATATTTAATATAAAATATTAATTTAATAACAATCTATTTATATTGTGCCACTGCCAAATAAATAATAATTTCCCAAGACTGCTGAGCAACGTAATACATTTCAAATTTATTTAAAGTTAATAATATTTTATCATTAATTATAAATAGTTATTTTTTTTTTTAATATAAAAATAGTATTATAAGTATTTAAAAAAAAATAAATATTTATTTATATAACTATTTGAAACTCTATATTTTTTTCACGATCAATGGATTTAAAGTTTTTAAATATATTCATTACTTTCATAATATACTTTATATTATACGCAATTATTACTCTACTAATACTTATAGTAAGCAGATAACCAAGGCCCAAGTTATATTATTGAGCCTATTTTATGGTACTTACCTACTTGCTTTACTAAATACTACGTAGCTTGGTTTTAACAATAGTGAACTTGAAAAATATTTATTCACCATACATGTTTACAGTGCTTTGACGATATACAAAATATAATTTTCTTTCCATAGCTGAATTCGGTAAATTTACTCAATCCCTGCATTTAATTTTTGTACCTTTTGGTATATTGGATATTTGTTTTTGAATGTTAATTTTTATTTTTAACAAATCAAAATTTTAAATAAATGTTGGAGATGCGACTGAGCATTGATTTCTGTTTATACTTACCCAAGACTTATAAATTTCCTACACTGAATTATATTTAGGGTTTCTTGTTTAAATATAATATTAATTCTTGTGGACTGGTGTGGCGCGTTAGTTGGCCTCAGTTGCTAATGTGTTCTAAGGTCTAGCATCGTCTGGCGTTACTAGGCTCGGATGGGTGACCACCCGATTTCTTAGTAACGAATCCATTGTACGCACATATACACAACATGACGTGTTCCGACCTTACAAAAACCTTACACAAAAAACCTAATGTACCTTTCTACAGCTAATGGCCTTATTAACTAGACTTAAGAAAATCAATAAATAAATAAATAATAGTATTGTCAATAGCCATTCTGATTAACTGTGGACATATGGTAAATTTTGTATAATAGTACTATATCTAAATATTTTATCAATTATTAGTTAATAATGTTATTATATACATCTATATTTATTTATAATATTGAACAGAGATATAAAAAACGAAATGCCACAGTAGAGCTGAGAGTACAATTATGCTTATACGTACGTAATACTACTATTCACTAATTTCACTATGATGTTTTTAATAACTACTAGCGTTAATAAACTACGAGTATAAATAATTCAATTTTAAAAACGCTTTTTTATAACTTTTTCAAACAAATATTTTTTATTTTATTTAAATTCTAATAATAGAAGTTAGAAAATAACTATGGTAATTTTACTTTTGATAAAAAATACTAAACTTGGCAAAGAAAAACGTCTAAATTCCTATATTTCACGTGTATTAGACAAAAACAGAAACAGTCGATATTGAATCCCCTTAAAATATGTTTTTCCGGGAGGGGGGTTAAGTGAGATATTATAATAATCTTTTGATTTTTACATTAATCTTAACTGATAAACGTAAGTTTCTGCAAAAATTAAGTATAATTTGTTTGTTCTGTGTGTCGTAAATTAAAAATGTTTGATATTATGATACATCCATATTTAACATTTTATATTTATTTTTTTATAAATTTTAAAATTTTTTTATTGTCATATATTTCAGGTTTAATAGCAGTTATCAATAATTACTATAATAAATCGACTTTGGATGGTTATATAAACATGGTTCGACAAATTTCTTCAGAAATAAACCGACCGAGTTTGCCGCCACTTTCAAAACTATACACTACGTTAACATTAATAATATTACTAATTGATTTAGCATATTCTTCTGTAACATGTGGTCCCGATATAAAATCAGTCGGAGGTAAGAAATAGTAATTTATTTAAATGTTTATTAATTTGTTATACATTATTAAATGGTAATAAAAAATTCTCTCAGTGATGTGCTATCCTGTTTTTTTAGTGGATATTTATTAGCAATCCAATGAATTATATTATTTAAGTAATATAATTAATGATTAATGTATCTTTAATCAAGTATATTATGAAAATTATAGGTACGGTCCCAAGTGGTGACATCATATTAGAATATGGCAGCGGCGTTCCCTTGGAAATCACATGCATCTTACAATCCGATACCATTATAGTGCAGAACTTATTTCGTGATCGAATGGATAGTAATAATAAAACCAAATTTCCAAGTCATAGGATCGTGTTTTATAAGAACGACGAAATCGTTCCCAGACAATATGTGACAATCGTCAACGCAACAGCGGCTCAGCTTCGCATCCCAAACCCCCCAGCTGGTCGAAATACATATTATTGTACACTATTACTTGATTATGAACCGCGACAAAATGACAGCTATGATAAATCTGATGGCAATGACTCGTCTACTATATTATCTAGTGATTCATCCACATTTCCTCCTGTTCAACTTGCAACTACTAGCTCGGTAACGAATGAGTCTCATCAACTGGGATCACAACTTGGGGTGTGTTTGAATACTGTCTATGTTGGACGTAAGTTAACCACAAAATTCAGACCTATTTTATTCTGATTGTACGATAGATCATAATCATAACAAGAATTTCTATAACTTAACGACTCTTGGATCGTTTATGAATGATAACTTAATAACTTTGTTTTATTCTTACATTTTTTTTTTTTATGATTTATTACATATATTAATTTTATAAGGATTAGAAACAATAATACTTTAAGAAGTTGAAAATATTCTAAAAATCACTGCGTGCTCCTATCTAATTATAATACGATAGAAAGTAATGATAAATAAATACATGTAAAATATTTAAACAACTTTGGTATATAAAGAATAGATTATTTCATTAACACAATTTTTCATGATTTTATTATCACGATAAACAATAACCATCTTCAATTCATAATTCAAATTATATAAAAAAAATTATATATATATGATATTTATAATATTTTATATTTGCTTAGATAAACCGGAAATCATAAGAAATTTTTCATGTATTTCTTATAATTGGGTTAGTTTGAGGTGCAATTGGAATCCATCAGAGAACGCAATCAAAACTACTTATTCATTAATATTCAGATTACCTGGTCGTGCTGGAGGCAGGTAATGTATAACAGTTGCAAATAATAATATTTTTTGTTTATCAAATGTAATTTTTTTTATTTATAGAATCTTCATAAATTGCCCAACGGATTCAGATATCAGAGAAAACACTTGCTATTGGGATTTCAATACTACGCCCATGTATAGACAACCGTACGAGTATTACGATTTCAGATTAAACGGTCAAAATGTATTAGGAAATACATCAACATTCATCAACTTTCATCATTATGCCAATAGTATATTTATATATTAAAATTATATTTCACTTTATGAACAAAGTATTATGTAACGTTATATAATTTTTTTTTTTAATATTTAGTTATTCCTGCGAGGCCTATAAATATCACCATTATCGATAAAACAGAATCGAGTGTTATGTTGAGGTGGTCTGTAGGAGCAATGACTGACTTTCCACGGGAACTAATTCATAAGATTGAGTATAAGTCACAGTGGGATTCCAATTTTGAACAATGGCATGTAAGTGTTCAGTGATCCATAAATAAAAATAAAAATTAAATTATTGTTACAATTTTTTTTCAGTCTATAAATATAAGCGACAAGTGTAATGCTCCAATACTCTCCAATAAAACAAATACCTTTCTGTATGATATGAATTGCCAAGAACGTGATGATGATTTTTATTATTTTAATGTCACTAATCTAAAATATCCATTCACATATTACGATTTTCGCATATACGTACGTTCTTCACTTGCCAACGGGGAAGATAAGTGGTCTCTTCCTGGTTGTATAACTTTGAAAACAAAATCTTCAAGTGAGTTTAGTACTTAAGTTAATATATTTTATTGACTATATTTTATAAATACTAATATTGAGTTGGGTTACTCAACTGTAGGTATTTGTAATATTATGTATCTTATAAACTAAATCAGTGTAATAAAGTATGAAAATATAAGTTATTATTTTGTATACAATTATAATTCATCATTTCATCATATTTTTTTTAGTACCAAAGAGGCCTCCAACAATTGATGTTGGGAGCTTTGAGTGTATTAGGTCACGAAACGATAAAACAAAAAGAGACGTGTTCATTTATTGGCAAAAAATTGATGACAGAGAGAAATGTGGTGATTCGTTTGAGTATCGTGCTTACTATAATTTGAACTCAAAAAAAAATGAAACCATGTAATTATTCCATATTTATAAAGCTTTCTGATTTTATTTATTGTAACTTTTAAATCCATACTATTATTTCATTTAAAATTATAGCATTTACAGTAGCAATGAAATATATGAAAGTTATGCCAAGTTTCAAGGACTCAGTACTTCGGTTGGTTACAACTTTACAGTGTATTCATCCAACAACGAAGGTTTGTCGACAGAATATTCAACAATTTACGTACCTAGTGAATCAGAGAGTAAGAATTTGAAAAATATACCGTTTGTTAATACATGTACCTTAAACTTTTGATTATTACTAGGACTTGAAAAACCAATATTACTTACAAAAATGGTATTTGATCAACAAGGTGTTTTTGAACTATCCTGGAAAAATTCTGGTTCTACAAAATTGTCCACTCCTGATGAACAGAATTATTATACATTATTCTGGTGTGAAAATGTTAAGGGTCATCCGTACCAGTGTAATGTACGTAAATTAATAAAAATAATAATTTTTAAAATACAATTAGTTAACTCGTTATAACGAAAATTGGATTTTAAACTAATACAAAAGCTTCTATTGAACATGTATTGATTATAAAAATGAACATTTTATCACAGTTTCTTTTAAAGATTTTATTTTTAAAATGACAAGCTGTCATCAAAAAGGTTTATGACAATTTTTTTATAACTTATGTTATAAAAGTAACAAATATTTTATTTTATTTTTCACACATGATGAACCCAAAATAAATACAAAAACATGCAATTTGAAAATAATTATTTATAGCAATTTATTCTGTAATAGTTTTTTTTTTTTTTTTATGAATACATTATAAACACTTGGATATTTAACTGAATATAGTAAGGTACTTACACTGTTTTTTATTCGTTTTTCTCCACAGTCCGAGAAGAATAGTTAACTCTTACAAGGGTAGCGGTAATCTTATACAACACTAGATAGAGTTAGTTCCTAATGTTCCTTTACAAGCTTTAATTTAAAAAAGAATATTTTACATAAAAATTGTATTAAGCAAACAAAATAATATAATTTTTTTAAATATCAGCCTTATAATTATGATGTTATTATATAATGTTTATAAAAAGATTTAATTTAGTTAAAAAAAAAGTTCTTAAGAGAATAACCTATTAGGAATCTTGTATTCGATTTAAAAACTATTTATTGAAAAAAAAATATTTTTATCCACATACATTTTAAACGTCTATAAATAACACAAAGATCTGAAATATTTTGAAAATGATAATGTGTTTAAATAATAATAATACAAAAATATTTAATGAGAATTTCATATCTCTACGGTTATTCCATTCAAAATTGTCTAACAACGACTCAAATTATAATGTTTACAAAATACATACTGTTTAAAATTTTTAAATATCGTCAAAAACGAATAAGTTATAAGCGTCTAATTTCTTACATTGGATTTTTTAAGTTATTTCAAACTTGTGCAGTCAAATAAAAATTAGGACAGTAGTCTGTGGCGGATCTAGGGGCCTAGAGCCTCGTCCCCCACCTCAGATCTCTTCAACAGTCTTTTTACTAACACAGTTATTTTAAATTGTGTTATAACGCATTATAATTGATTACATAATATCTATTTTGGAAACTATTGGGAATTTTATTACCGTTGTTTGGATAAAAATATTATAAATAATTTTTTATTTTTAAATAAGTGCAGATTATATTTTGTATTATAGAAGTTTTTTTTAAATAAAATAATTAAAATTTATAACAGTCTAATTATTATAGGTACTTAACTAACATTTATAATTCTTAATCAAATAATAAAATTAATAAATTTCCCTTAACCATTTCTTTCATATTTTTAGGAACATGTGAACTAGAACATTATAATGTATACGTGACTCAGAAGTAATTTTTTTTTAGGACCCCATCTCCCCCCCACAAAAAAAAAACCGTGGATCCGTTACCGACAGTGGTAGGTTTTAAGACCTATGAATGAAAAAAAATACTACGATAAAGTGGTAGTATCTGAAAATCACGAATGTCTAGTGTACCACAACACCTGGGGTACAAGTGTACAACTAAATACTACTTCTTCCCTTCATTCATCAAAAATAATCATGTTTATGCATTTTATACCTGAAATACCTACTCTAGTATTGCGAATTATGTATTTTACAGGGCTATGTAAACTGGACGCACGTCCCTGGTACAGAATTTCGTCGCAACGTCACTATATTAAATTATAGTGCTAACAATCATTATCAATTTGCAATAAGTGCTAACAGCCGACGTTTACTAAGTAATGATACCAATAGTTATCATCAAAACAATTATAACAGTAGCGGAATGGTGTGGGAATCGTGTACAATACAAAATAATATAAGTATTAAGATTTGTTATTTTTGTAGTTAGTGATAAATTTTTTGTAATTTATCGATGTTCATTTTGTACCTATTTGTTTGTTTATGGTTGTATAGCTGCTAGAAAAATCGAGAACGTTTGGGTTAATGTAATCGGCTCGACATTTATTGGTTTGAAGTGGAATATTGACTGTACTGACAGGATTGGTTTGGTTGGTGAATACCAAATATTTTATTGTTCTGTTGTTTCCATTAGCAGTAACATTTGCCATGGTAAGAATATGTAAAAACTATTTAATGATGTTGCATAACCATATTATAATTAGATTAAGATTATTTCATTTTCTATCACTGAAAAGATTGAATAAGAAATATTAAATTAGCTTACTTGTTGTTATTAATGCCTCAGTACATAGATTGTCAATTCAAATGGTTGTACATACAAAGTAATTTATTATTTTATATGTGAGATTAAAGATTTAAATATTAAAACTGTAAAATTATAATATTTACATTATTCATTCATGACACATCTTGGTATATACCTACACGAATAAGATTGATAGACATATTTGAGTAATCGGTAAAAATAATGAACACATTAATGTAATAATTTAATTTTTATCTAAATAGTATTTAATACAATTTGCACAAAAATAATCTATCTTATCTACTTATCTTATGATTAAGCTTGTAGGTACTTCTAACTTAACAACTAGCATTATATATTAATTTAAAAAAAAATTATCTATCGAAAATCATCCAACAAAATCTATTAAGGTTGACAATTGGAATTTACTTAAAGTTCAAATTGAAGTTTAAATTGAACTTCGTGTTAAAATTTAACTTCCTTTCGACGAAATACTCATTTATCGCGTGCAAAACGTTCGTACGGATAAAAGAATAAGAAGCAAAAACTTCGATAGTGAAATGTGGGTGCGATATTAAATGCAGTAAATTTAATGTGTTTTAATAGAAAAATATTTTATTGTCAATTTTCGACTAATGTACGATGTTAGTGTAATAACATAATAACATAATAGTTGCCACAGTGAGTTTATATAGTATAATTAGGCATTAGATGATTGGGTACCTATATCTAGTTGTTTTATTTAATATGAATTTTTTATACCCACTAATATTATGATTTATAATTTTTATGAATCTATTTTGTATTTTAGGATCTATGTTGTCCAAAACAATCAGCAGAGAGGCGGCTCAAAAAGACGGAGGTTTCACCTTGTTATCGAATCTTAAGCCTTATACAACGTACATTGTTTCTATAGCAATTAGTACAAATTATGGAAAAGGAATACACAGCGATCCTTTACTAGTTACCACATTACGTTTAGGAAGAGGTGAGTGTCTTAAACAAGAATATACCATGTTTATACAACAAATAATGAAACATAGTTATTATTTTAATGCATGAACTGTTCGTGGTAACTGGTAGCTCATTTATAATGCAATAATTATTCTTATTTTAAAATAGTTTTAATTTTATAACAAATATAGATACACATACACAATTTGACTTCAATTAAGAACTTCTACATTGCTTTGCATTCAATTACGATACGCAACAATACCGACATACCTAGATAGTAAGTATAGTATTAGTACTTCGTCTTTAAAACAACTACTGCAAACAAATAGTGACACCATTGTATCTTGTGTAGTTGTATAATATAGTATGCACTCATAAAGTTTATTATTATCTACCTCTTATAATTTACACTTTTTTTTCATTTAACGTTATTATGGTTCAGTCATTTATGTATACCTACACATTTTTACTTTATATCATTTTTTTTTTTTTTTTTATCATTGAATATAATATTGTTATCAGCATTAGATACCTAAATATAAATTAAAATAAGTAAAAAAAGAATAATATTAACAATGTTTTCGATTTACCTATCAATATTATAATTATTATAACTATTCACAAATGTAGTATCAGTAAAATATTAAATATAAAATCAAATATTATCAATACTTGCTTATTAATTATTTATTATTTCCCTGTATTATTAAATATATGTTTTTTGTTTTCGATTTCTTAATCCTTGAATACATTCACGACCGTTACGGTATTCATATCGCAAGTTACTATCACGATATCATAAAATATATTTATGTGTGTAAAAAGATTGTGCATACCATGGGTCAAATTTCTGACAAGCCCGTCGTTAAATGACATGCGTTAGATTTAACATATTCTTATTTAGTACAACAAATGGCAAAAGTTTTGCTTTTAACGTTGTCATAATGATTTTAATTGCATTTTAGGTCAATGGTAATAATTAGCGACTGTGAGTTTTTAAATTCCAAATTTAATATCTGAGTACAATTTTTAGCTTTTTAGTATCATATATTATAATATTAAATATTTAAGTAAGTACCTATAATTCTACAGGTTTCAATTTTTATGCATATGTATTTATGTATGAACTATGAACACAGTACCTAGCTAATGTTTTATGAAACGTTGCTATTGTGTATTTTATTTATAATATGAAATTATATTTATCAAGTGAGGGCATACCATTTAATTATTTATATAAATTTGGTAATACATTCAATTTTGTATTCCTTGTCAAAGTATAGAAGGTTTTACACTTAGTGTTAGCAGATACCTGCTAAATAAAATACAAAATTTTAACCACACTGATCCAGAATGCAAATTTATGTGTGTATATTTATTTGTAATTTTTTTATTTTTAACTGTCTACCACAATTTACTAGAGTTTGGCATACATTATAAATTTACAATTTCCCTTTTAAGCCAACATTGTCTGCGATTTGACGCAGTCGAATTGCCTACCTGTGAAGTTAAAATGCGTTAACTAGATTTTCACAGGTGATAATTGTTCGCTTGAAAATCAAACGCTCGAATCGACTTAAACTTGTTTACGTACAGAACAGCACAACAATATCAACATCAGGAGGTATAACAATCCGTTGCAGTCGGATTGCTCAGCCAGGTATTGACATACACCGGTTAATAACTGATAGCTAGACCCTCAAATACCATTTTCGAAATGCATTTATTTATTTTATATACACAAAAGTACCAAGCAAACGACGGGAAAAGATGTATTATACCTGTGATAACCGACCGCCAGACACTCGAATTCGATTTTCAATACTTTCATAGACTTTCTTTTACGCGTTTAAAACGACTCTGTCTAAGTATAAACCATCAAATCAGTGGTGCAAACATCGTTATCACCGGTTTCGTCATGAGACTTAACTATTGACTACAATACTTTTCTAACTACGGTTTTATTCAAGTCCTGTCTCCGACCTAGGGTATTAACTTACATCGAGTTTCACTAGACCCAGTGCCATATTTATACAACGACAAATGGGACAATTATACCGGCCCACTCAAAAGAGGGGCCCACCGATTTCAAACAAATACAATTAATTGTATTCCTTTTTATCACACTTTGGAAAAACAAAATACACTTGCATTTTACTTAGATATTTTGTTGGGATATTAAGTATAATGAGTAATGACTTTTTCCCGAAAACGATGGCCTTAAAACTGAAATTAAATTTGACTTAAATATTAAACATTTAGTTTGATATACAAGTATAATAAATAATAATCGAAATACTAATTCTTGTTAAAAAAAAAAAAAAAAAAGTTGACTTTTTAATTAATTTAGTTTGTTTTTAACTTGAATAAATATTAAACATTTAAAGTGTAGTGTTCTTGCATATCAAATAATCATATTTTTGACAATTAAATGTTATTCTATGATCCAACTACTCGTTTATAAACAACTAATCACATATAACATTAATTTAAAAATATGTTCCGCATACATTTTATTTTGGCATTGAAAAAAATAAAAATGAACAACTTGGGGCCCAAAATTGTAAATTATACGTACTTGGCCCGTGGATCGGTAATTCAGGCACTGACTAGACCCCCTCGAAGGCGGCTTCCATAAATCCGGAATCGAGTTTCACCGGCCGCTAGTAATATCAATAAAAGCATATATTTCGTTGTCAAGATAAGATTCTCACCTGTGGGATTGATAATAGATAAATCTACTCCAATGCTAAAGCTGACAACATAAAACGGATTCTGCTGAACGAAAATTTGCCGTGTTGTATGTAAGACGGAGACAGCGCATGCGGGTCTCAAACACTAAAATATGTTCACATCAGTGCTCCCGAAATCGAGTCCCGAGTACCAGGAGTGCAGTATGAGCGCAGTGGCTTATCGGCGCGCCGTATGGTTTCCCACCAAAGTTGCCCGGGTCGACTTAATCAGACCATTCGCGTACGTCAGCATTCTAAAAAATCTCCCGAAATTGAGTCCCCGAGTACCAGGAGTGTATGGGTGAACTCACTGTATAGTGTCCTACCAGAGTTGTCCGGCTCGACTTAATCGGACCACTCGCACGCACATTCCGAGTCTCCCGAAATCGAGTCCCCGAGTACCAGGGGCGTATGGGTTTAGTGGCGTCTCGTTCTACGGTTTCCTACTGCCAGTGGCGGCGACGGCGGCAGCGGTTCAAAGTTTCAAACACTCCGACTACGTTCCTGTTACATACAAATTATATTATAATTGTTTGTTTCCATTGAATGACAAAATAACAATAAAAAATATTTGATGCACGATTTAACACTTGTTACTTTGTTAACAAAAAAAAAAAAAAAAAAAATTGAATAGAAATATTTTAAATAAAAGTAGGTAGGTTGAGATATTGAATAATATGATATTTGGTGATGAAGGTTTTATGTTAATTTTTTATTAAATATATTTCGTACCTGTTAATAGTTTATTTAGTTATAAAATGTATCTAGTTTTTTATTGTTAGGTAGGTATTCACTATTCAGTTTAGTATTAATCGTATCTATGAATGTATTGTATATCGAGTTTATTTCATAATTATTGTTGTCATTATTTATGTTTTTGTTAAATACTTAACTTAACTCTGTATTACTATCGCAATTAATATTGATATTATTTAATGTTTAGTGATTTTTTTTTATTTAATTGACAATTGTTTAGAATGATGGCTTTATAGATTGGAAAATAAAAATATTTTTGTTTTGTTGTTATTAATTATTCTGTTTTCTATATTCATTCCATCAACTTCACTTTTTCTTGGCTATAATTTAACTAATTGAAATGACGCGTTACACTGTAATCAAATTTATTTTAAATATCTGTGTTTAGCCTGATGTCATGCTACTCATTTTTAAGTCTGAGAAAATGAAATGATTTATGAATCATATCAATTTTATTGTGAACAAAATAAGTGTTAATATTAATTAAATGTATTTATGTTTAATGTTTGGTTGAATAATCATTTCTTATACTTAATCGTTGAGCATAATAAAGTTTACAATGTAGGTCGATATTTCAAATTTATAATAGTAAAATTCATAGCATTGAGTATATATAGTTCTAGAATATATACTATATATACTCAATATTAATAGTTATACTTGAACCGAATACACTAATCATTGTCAGATTCTGTTAATATAATATTAACTTTTTTATTACCTGATTGAGTGGTAGGTACTCTAGAATTTTTAATTCTAGCAGTACCTATTCCTTTATATTGTAATAACTACTATTTCTATTCCTTTTTATACAATTTCATTTTTATTTATGGTTTTTGTGATTTGAAGAATTATCAGCAATTTTTTAAAAAGTTAAATCATTCGGGTGATTTTATTGGGGCATTTACTAGTTATTTTATAAAATTATTACTTAAAAAAATGGTAAAGTCGATTCTACATAATTAGGCAGTTTTTGCAGTAAAATGCTGTATCTGTTTATAAGTTATGATAAATATGTATAATAAATAATATTATGATAATATTTTTAACAAAATATAATATTATATAAACACAATTTAGCTATTTTCTCCTTTAAAAGGAAGAAGGAAAAAAATTTTTGTAATATATATATAAATGCTCACCATTTTATAGTACTTTTTTCACCTTTATTCACTTTTGTTTTGATATTAGAGTATGATAAATAAAAGAAATTAATATACATCTCTCTTTTTATAAAAATGAAACAAAGAATAAAAAACTGCACTGAAAGGTCTCAGTATAGATTTAGATATCTTTTCTTGAGTTACCTATTTGTTATACTATATATGCTAATGTCTAAGTATTAACTATCATAAGATGCTTCTAGTTGTAATTTATAAGTTTTCAGCTTAAAATACATCTTACAATAAAAAGTAGGGAATTTCAAATAATTACAAAAACAAAATTGTCTGTTCACTCATATTAAACATTTATAAATATTTATAAGAATATAAAAATTAAGTACTATACAATCACTTTAACGGGTCAGAAAATCAATTCTACAGTCCCATAATATAAAAAAGGCCCAAAGATTGTGAAAAAAGCGAACCTTAGAAAATAGAAATGAGAGGTGAGACGTTGACTGTGAATGCGAAAATATTCAATAGTTCATTCAGACAATGGCACACCTGTTATATTTTATTATATTTAATGCATTTATTATTCTTTTATAATACATTATATAATACACTTAATCAGTATCACACAAGATACGTAAAAACAATAATAGAACTGTGGCACATCACTTACATGACATACGTTTGATAGGAATAACAAAAGTTAAGTTGGTGATTAGAAATTAAAATAATTTATTTTATATTTATGAAATTAAAGTAGAATTTTTTTGTCAGTTTAAAATGGTACGAAATTCGAGTCAAATACATCTTATAAAATAGTATTTGTTAGCTAATTTTACCTACACAAAATCCCTATGAGAATAAAATTAAAAATTAACAGTCACGATTATATTGTGCCCACTAGTTTTGAGGTATCTAAATATAATGAGAATAAATTATTGTTGTTTGATAAATGGGTGCAAGTTGATCAAAAATCAAATATTTTGATTATTATTACTACAAATTTTCATATAAATTGTATGTAATCTATTATCTAGCATTACTTAGTATTATTTCATTAAATAATCATAACGAATATGTGTGGTGAAATGTAATATCGACTTAAACTTAATACTATAACAGTAAAGTGACCTTTTGAATTAAAAAAGTATTTTAAATCCCACACATTATATAATATAAATTATTATTATTATTAATTCGGTCACATTTTTTCATGCCGTTTCAGATATAGGAATTCATTTTAATACATTTTCACGATAAAATAATCACTATTCATTATACTTGAATAATTTGTATTTCAGCCAGAATGTAGAACTACAACAAGCTATTTTATTGTTTACAATGTAAACATCTAAACATTCAAAAGTGACTAAATTATTTCAAATCTTAAAAATAGTTATTTTAAAAACACTAACTGAATATGGCAGCTCCTCAATTGAACGATATCGATGCACAACCTCTTGGTTCTAGGAATAATGAAAACCCAATTGCAGGTAAAGTTAACATATCAACAATAAATACCAAATATAGGTAATGAATGAACTGATATATTTTTTTAAACAGCAATAATCAATGAAAATGATCCCAATGTATCCGGAGCACAATCAATTAGTACACCTGGTAATTTGTCCAACAATGATTTTGAAATTGAATCGTCGGTGAGAAAATTTATTGATGAAGATGATGGTGAACCAGAGTGTCCTTTGAAAAATAATAATGAACTATATTGTTATGATCGAGAAACAGCTAGAACTTTGATGTATTTAATAGGTAAATAATTAACGTTCATTTTTCCATTAATAATAATAACTATCATATGCATGCGCTGGATTTCATTGCTGGTATAATTGAAAATTTCAAAATTAATTATGATAGAAGGAGTTGACATATATACATATAAGGTATAGGCACATTCTGTTTTCAATTCTATATTGTGTAATTTGAATTGATATTAAGAATGTAAAACAACTTTTATAAATTTGATTTGTATTCTAATTTGCATGAATGAATTCGTTCTGGTGGAAAAGGTTAGGTATCTATAAAGTTCTCATACCTACATAACCACTAACTTAATATCAGCTTTTTTATTTTCAATTTAAATTTTATTGGCATAATTTTTCCATCATTCATTTTCGTTGTGTTCAGAACTTAATGACAGATATGAACAATGAACATGGGTAACACATAATTCTACATATTAATCAATTATCTAAACTAGTAATCCAACTACCGTGATTCAGTTTTTTTGTTTTCTGTACACTTCTAGTTTTCTATCATATTTTTTTCTAGTATAACATTGTCAAACTTTTGACGTAAAATTTTTTCTTCTAATTTTTAGATGCCATTTTAAGAACAAGATATAAAAGCATTATCGTACTTGGTACATTGAGTGTATTATTGTACCTATCTTTTTCAGATAGTAGAGATCGCCAAAAGGTGTTAACATGGATAAGAAAACTAGATGAAATGAACGATGGTGATGACATGTTGGAACGTGTGCACTACATCAAGTACCTGGTGTCCACGCTGAGTGGAACGTTAGGATTGGTAGAACCGTTCACGTCTATGCCACCAAAAATAGTAAAACCTTTGAGACTTATCTTACCACCAACTGTATTCGCCGATCTATTGAAAGACGAACCTGAGCCTTGCATAAGAAAAAAACTATTTGCTCATAAAATTCCAAATTCGAATAGTCAATTGCTACAAGATAAAAAGTTTTATGAACAACAGTTATTCCCACCAGAAGGCATTATATGCTATGCGGCTGCTTTTAGCGTCATATAACTATATAAGCATTGTTCAACTAAAATAATGTCTAATAAAATTTAAAGCATTGAATTTTGACAAAAACTTTTTTTTCATGTTTTATAGTAGGTATAAATCACTTAGATAATTATTACGATCCGAGAAGCAAATCGTGCTAACATCATAGGTACCTACTGTGTTATTTAACGTTGCCGCTATCATACGTAAGAAGAGAGGCGTACAGGCGTCACACGAACCTCAAACAATGATTTAATGTAGGTAGGTAGTAAATGTGTTTCCGATCATAACAGCTGTGTTATACTTTTCATTGGAATCGTTTTACGTCCAACCTTTATGGACTGATTCAGGCTCTAAATAATGGGCAATTCGGACTTGGACTTTATTTGATTCACTCTAAGCAATATTATAAAAGATAAGATTAGAAACCCGTAAATTTTGATAATAACAAATTCATTATCAAACGGTTGGCATTGAAAATTTAATTCTTCTACATCGGCGATTCCAAACATTTCTAGTTGTGTAGACCGCACCAATTTTGAAAAAAAATCTTTGAGGTAATAGCACACCTATAAACGTATACGTATTTTTTTTATTTATGTGATTCACTAGTTATTAGAAATAAAAGAATTAAAAAACAATTTTTTATTCAAAAAAAAAAAATTATTCAACTTAATCACAAGTTAAATGTGATTTTTGACATTACTTGTCCTCTCCTCACAAGAAGTTTTAAAAGCTGGATTAAAACTGGATAGTTTTAGCTTTAAATAACTCTCAACATTCAGTCTATTTCTATAGTTATTTATAAAAAAAAAAAAAAAATTGAAGTAGATAAAGCTCGTTCATACAGATAGATTGTCGAAAAGCCCATCAAATTTCTTAGTGCAATTTTAGCACAACTTTCACACGTTTCACGCTGTGCACCACAAAAATGACAAATAATAGGTAGGTATATCTATACCTTTCTATTAATAATAAACAAACTACATGGGATAAAACTACATCCAAACAATGATAATGTTAATTGTTTAAAAAAATATTTAATAACATTATTTTAAATATAGATGTTAGTACCTAATATTAATATTACATGGTTCGCGGCACAGTATCACCCTGCTAGAGGCCCACAAGTGGACCGCGGCCCATGGGTTGGAAACCGCTGTTCTACTTTAAACGATTATAATTTATAACACTTCACAATTTCACACGTAAGAAGAATGATAATTACCATAACCAGTGGTGTAGTGAGACGTATATTCGGGTGGTTATAACACGTGATACGCGAGTATACGTTTTTTGGAATTCATTAATTTTGTGAACCAATATAAAAAATAATTTTTAATTAATAAATAAAATATCGAACAAACATGACCGATTTGTAAAGAGTTATTAAATACTATTTGCATATTATGCTATTATAGGTAACAAGTAGGTAACAAAAATTTAGTTGGTTTAATGTTGCTAATAGTAGCGGGTACCTATATTATAGCAAATTACTTTGACTAGTATGTATATAAGTATATTAATGGGTTATAAATCAAAATCAAATTTTTAAAATGCTTATAAAATAATTTTATAGTTTATTCTCAACTGAAAATTCTAGTTAAATTATTAGATTTTTATTTTCATAGTATTATTTATTTCATTTAAAATCACCGAATTTAATACAATTAATTGTATAGTAAACTGAATATTCTATATTTTTATTATTATTTCAGTATACTTACTACAGTTCATTGGTAAACCATACATTGGGAAAATGCGAAAAATAGTAAACAATAAAATTAATTTATATACCTACTTAATAACACATGTATAAAAAATGCATATATTATATAATTTGTATTGCGTCATATGTTATAGAAGCTGAATAATAAGCTTAAGAAGACGTTGTACCCGTATGTTCTGTCTTTGTTTTACTAACATACACTATAGCAAATTTGAGTTCATTTTATGATGTTTGCTTTAATAATAGAGTAAATGTACTTATTATTCAACTTGAAGGTTCTTAAAGAAGTACGTGCCACACACTGGGAAACTTGAAAAAATGCAATATTTGCACCCAAAGAAAGATTTAATGATGTGTTTAAACTTACAACAATAATTTATCTGACTAGCAAGAAAACGAAGAGATCGTTCAAAGCAAATATTTGCGAAAAAACAAAGAAAATAGAGAAATTATTTTATTGTTGAGTACTTGGGTAAATGTTTTAAGATCGATTTAACCAGTGATATTAACATACAAAATGCTTATAATCTACTTCAGAAAACAATTGGTATAGATACTTGAAAGTTGAAAATTTACGCAAAAATTATGACTCTGTATTAAATACCGTAAAATCTATTTACAATAAAATATGGGGTATTACTACAAAGTCAGTAGGTAAGTAAACTACGTTATGCCAAATTGCCAAAATTATATTTTGATGAGGTAGATGAAAAAGATCGACGATTGAATATGACAGAGAATAATTTTAAAATTTAAATATTTTTGTAATTTATACTTACTGTATTAGAGCACAATACATATACTGGATTGAACGAAGTTTAAATAATACGTTTAGATTTCTTAATCCATTAAAATTAAAAACTCCTGAAGAATCAAACATACCTAATAAGTCCTTGTATTGCTTACATTGAAATACAAATCTAACGTGGAAATTTCTTTAACAAATTAAATATTAATTGGTTCAGATTAATCTCATATGAGAGATTAAAATATAGATTTCATTATTCAAAATGACCTAGCTTACAGTTTTCCTTGTATTAAAACTAGGTACATGTTTAATATTTTTTACAATTTCAGTAACTGTAGTTGCAGCAGAGATCTTTATTAAAACTAAAACTCCTTAAAAATGATATAAAAAATTCCATATTCCAAGACAGGCATAGCAATATTGCTATTCTTATTATAGAGAAAAGTCAAACTGATGAACTAGATTTAGAAAAGATAACTGATAATTCTGCTAATGCTAAAGCAAGAAAAACATTTTTTATTGTATTAAAATAATTATGCTAGTACCATTATAATATTATTAAGTTATATAATTAACTTACCTATTATATATTTATTCATATTATTTATACTACAATAAATAAATTACAAGGTGATTTACTGGTATGTAATGCTTTATTATATATTAAAATTAAAATTAATTAATTGAAAATAATGGGGCCTACAGATTAAATTTTTACAGGCCACATCTAATTATTCTGGCAATGATACTGGTAAAATAAATAGTAAAATTAAAATAATAGAGGACTTCCAATAAAGGTAATAACCCCAAAAAAATCATTAATTATATAAACAGGCTATAATTATCTTTCATTTTTTTTTTATAAAACTTTGATAAACTTTAGTTATTTCTGTGTTCAAAAAAAAAAAAAAAATAAAAAAAATAAAAAAAAACATCTGATCTATAAAATAATAAATATATGCTTGATAAAAACCTTCAATGGAAAATATAAAATAACTATTATTGGTTAATTTCAAGATTCGGATATCATGATATATATTATATGGATATTAAAAAACTTTTTAATTAGAATATCTATTACGTATAAAATATGAACTATTTTTAACAATTAAAATTCAAGAAGTAGTCATGGTTGTTACTTATTATAAACACCTTGTTTTAATTACCAGTAAATTATAACATAGTTAGGTACTAATTTACCTAGTATAACTTATTAAAATCAAATAAAGTTCAGTAAAAAAATATGAAGTATGATGTAAACATAGGTAACTATTTAAACAAGTATACAATTGTTTCTCACACAATCTATTACTGTTGAAACATAGTTTTCCTATCACTTTTCATAAGTTATCATCTTCTATAGTTAACTTGGAACATATTATTCTGTTTTTATAATGTTCTTCGTGTATTACAGCGCATGTTACTGCATTATACCTTTTTTTTTTTTTTATATGTAAAATTGCAACAATTAACTATAACATAAAGAAATATAATACATTTTAATAATAGATACATTAACAACTTTTTGTAGATTTTGTGTATATATATTTGTCTAATCATTTAATGATTAGATACATATCAATAAAAAAAATAATTTATATTAACACATGAATTTTTAAATGTAGACTTGATTTACTTTAATTCATGGAGTTAAAAGAATATGTACTATACTACTATGATATTTAATTAAAAACACATTATAAAAGCAGACCACTCTTACAGTTTGTATTGTCCCATACCTAAATTTTACAAACCACAATTGTTTACAGTTTGGTTATCTAGTTAAGAAGACGTTTCACTTGCATGTGTTGTCTCTGTCTTAAAAACTAATAATGAAGCAAATTTTACATTCAATTTTTATAATAATCATAACTCGCATCAAAATTCAAGTATCATTAAAAGCTTCTGAGATGTCCTAGGTATTAATCTTTACTTAAAATTATATAAATATTTTATTTATAAATTGTAATTTTAAAAATAACAGAATAAAATGAATTATTATGAATACAAAATTGGCTAAACATCTGTAAGACGGAGGTAATATACACAGGATTCCGGTCCTCTTTATGTTAGTATATCATTATTGTACTTAATTATTTGAATTAATAGTGTTTTAAAATATAATATATCCTTCTATAATTATTAAGATTATATACCCTTGTAATAACAATGTAATATGACTAATATATAACAATTCAAGCTTTTCATATTTCTTTATGTTGTTAGTTCTATATTCTTGTTACAACATAAATCATAAGCCTACATCAAAGATACATTTTATTCTTTAAATAAAATATAATATATGTATGTATAATAAAATATCTAACCATGTAGCACATTTTTCTCAGAATAGATAATTAGTAGTTACATTGAAATATACACGGATGAAATTAACTAGAAGAGTCATTAAAAAATGTAATATTGTTATTAAAATAATTATATCAGTTATTTAACAGTGGATTATATACACGCCAAAATAATCATAAAACAATATTAGTCTAACAAGAATAATAATTATTACATTAAGGTTAGATGATATAATTTAAAAAGTACTAATGATGATAAAGACCAAAATTAGTTAAGTAAAATAAAGTTAATTCCCATCTTAATGTTGACAAAAAAGGCAAGAAACTTGTCTTATTTAGACAAAATAGAATTAGAAGAAAAGTTTTTAAAAAAAATGTATGTACATATTATAGTTTTTAATTATTATATAGTATACACATATGTCATACGTACACATAATTAAAACGTGTACTGTTATTATTATTAAGTTATCTTTAGTTTTTCTTTAGAGCAATCAAGGTTTTTGCAAGGGATCAGCATTTATTTTAATTTATAGAAGTTCCATTGAATCTATTTTAATATAATAAATACTATTCATTTTTGCCTTAAAAATATATTAAATAATACTATAAATACACAACACCAATCCAATTTTTTAATGTTTATTATTTTAATTTGTATTTAACTCACTAGTGGGGTATGTTGGTAGAAGGAACTATGAAATAAGTATCTAATCATTGTCTGTCTATATGAATCACTAATAAGTCAAATCCGAGTTAAAAAAAATATAAAAAAAAATGATAAATAATT